GTTGTTAGAATACACAAACTTCACTAAAAAAGAGAATAGTGTAATCAACCTAATTGAATTGCTTAAATTGGTAACAAGCAATTTAATTAAAGAGCAAGTCACCCCCAAATAAACTATTTTTTTCTGATAAACTATATAAATGCGTGTCTAATCGTGCTGCAGACACGTGTAGTCAATAGTTTTGCACTTTAGTGCATTTTAGTTAAAATTTTAAATTTCTGCCTGAAACTGTCAGTGTTGTGCCGTTGTCAGGTAAAAACTCTTCACTGCATTTGAATTTAAATCTGACATCGCCATTGGCTAAGAGGTATGCTATGATGTAAACTGGTAGATTATGATGTCACAATGTCGAGAGTGTGTGTATTTGTAGTGGCTCCACCCTCTCCGTCTGCTAGGCAACAGCATTTGTTGCATTTTTTAAACATGAAGTGGGAGTGAAGTACGCTTCTTGTAAGGGGTGACTTGCTCTTTAAGTTTATCCAACCTAAATTATTAAAATTGTACTAATAATTTAAGTTGGATAAACTTAATTAAATTGCTTGTTACCAATTTAAGCAATTTTTTTTAGTTGGATCAACTTTTTCTTTTTACAGTGTTGAAAAGTTTGGTATAAAAATTCCAAATGGGACATGATGAACAGTTGATAAGTGATTCTAATTCCTGAAGACTTTGCCCAGCACTAACAAAGACATCCAGCATGGAGGAGTTTACACGAGTGGCTGCTATGAACACGACTTGCACAATACATTTTAAAAATGACCAGAGCAGGGCAGCCCCGGTGGCCATTTAGCCACAGTCTGGATGCTATTTAGCTTTCATCTCTTCGCTGTAGCAACAACTACAACAGAAAACCCCATAAATCTGTGTCGGACAGCTCATATTGCATGGCTCGTGGAACTTTGGTGCAGTAAAAAGTTTATTTGTGGGACATGTGGCCTGTCATCATCCAGAGAGCGTATTTACGTCTCTTTTATTCCATCATGCATAGAAGTTGAAAAGTTGAAAGGGGTTTTCTCAATGATCATTTTAGATTTTTTCATTTCATTTTATTTCACAGCCTCTGCAGTTTGATTTACAACATCATGACCGTGAAAATGTGGTGAAAGAAGAACATTTAGCTGAGTTTGATAGAAGAACTTAGAGGAAACTCTTATCATTACATCACGGATCTTGTTTTCTGAATAGAAATAATTTAAAGGAGCTTTATATTCAGTTTCATATTTAAGTTGCATAACACAAAGCTTCAGAGATTACATATTTGTAAAAATACTAATAGAACTGCTTAGTTTGAAATCCTAATTAGAGACACTAGAAATGTAGTTTAAAGGAGCACAGTGACAGGATTACTGACATCTAGTGGCCAGGTTGGAGATAGCAGCCACATCTTCTCGTTTCCTCCTCCGTCTCACCGTGTGCTAAACGAGGAGTTAAAATTCAGTTTTGTTGCTTTTTCCTAAAAATCAAATATGAACCAATAAGCTACTTAACATCATTTACAACCTTTAGTAGAGGTATGAAACTTAAGATGCTTTTTTTTAGATTGAATCTATTTTTTTGTTTTAATAATCGACTAAATCTAAAAGTTGCAGTGCAGGAATGAAACAAGGTTAGAAAAACACTTTAAAGAGCAATTCACCCCCAAATCAACTTTTTATTTCTGCTAAACTATATAAATGTGTGTCTAACCGTGCTGCAGACACGTGTAGTCAATAGTTTCGCACTTTAGGGCATTTTAATTCAAATTTAAATTTTCTGCCTAAAACTGTCAGTGTTGTGCCGTCGTCAGGTAAAAACTCTGCACTACATTTGAATTTAAATCTGCCATCGCTATTGGCTAAGAGGTGCCCTAGAACGTTAGCTGGTACCATATGATGTCACAATGTCGTTGTGAGCCTGTGTGTGTGTATTTGTTAACGGCTCCGCCCTCTCGGTCTGCTAGGCAACAGCATTTGTTGCATGTTTCAAACAGGACGTGGGAGCGGAGTAATACTCTGGTAGGGGGTGACTTGCTCTAAACTGCTGGAATTACACATCCTGCAGAAATGAGTAAAACCATTTTTTTAAACTTCACTACAATATTCCTCTGTGCAGACCAGTCAGTGTGTGTCACAAGTTTATCCTGTTTTTTTCCTCTTTGTAACAACAATACATTTTCCTGTCTAAACAGAAACAGGGATAACAAACCATCCTGAGTCCTGGTGACAGCTGGGGAACACACAGGTCCAAACAGAGGAGCTAATGATACCCCTGGCTGGATGTAAACAGGAGCAACGTCTTGCTGAGACATCATGATTTCCACCATCCAGTGACAGAGGACCTAAAATTAACCTAATGTTTACCTTCACTCGATAACAAAGGCCACAAACATTCAGCCCGTGAGTCCTCACAGATTGGTGCTCGTCGGGCCAGAGACTGACAAAAATGGCTTTACTCGTCATCAACAGGCAGCTACTTATAGCTTCAATAAAGCAAATCCATAAATCTTGCACAAATCTGGGGTTCATATCGCGCAGACAGCTGCTCCAGTATTCTAAAATCCCACAGTCTGCACTGATGGTAAAAACAGTTCCCAAGAGATATGGAGGGAAAAATTTAAGGAATTGCTAGCGAGAAGGGGACGTCCTTACTGAAAATGTGCAGGAAAAAGGGCGGGGGAGGCTTGGGCAAAAAAGTCACGGAGAGAACGGAGATGATGAAAGCACAAAGTGGGAAACACAGTAAGAGCATAAGTGAGAAAATAAACAAGTGATGGGCTGCCGAGCGCTAGCCGAGCAGAGGTACTTCCCCTCATGTGCACAGCTGGATTTGTGAGACGATGAGCAATTCTGCCCTCTCTTCTACCAGACTCTGACACAAGCAGGGGAATTTACCTCCAGCGACTTAGTCTGCTTCAAAAATAACACCATGGTGGTAGCCTCCAAAACAAACAAAGGCTTTAAAGTGTCCTTTCAAGTCCGAAAGCCCAGCATTCTTTTATCAGGAGCGGTTTGCTGCATAAGAATAAGGAAAACATATAAACGCTGTAACTCTTTCTGTAGCAACACCAGTATTCTAGAGATGCGCCCAGCAAATAAACATCTGGTGATCAGAGTCGGCCGACATTCAGCACGACCAGCTTAATCTGGGATTGGCCAATCTCAAACTCAAAAATCAGACACTCAAACGACCAGACTGCATAGCGACAGATTTTCCATGTGAATGTTTTAACTTACTGAATCATGATTTAGTTGAGAATTAAACTTTAATGTATTCTGCTAAAAGTCTCATTCACTCGTAGTTCTGTAAATCTGCTGGGCTCTCTATGAATTCCTGCCTTGCGAGTCGTTTTCTGTGGACACATCTCCGGCGATCCTGTTCCGCGGTAGAAGTTTGTTGGGAGGAGTGAGGGACGGCAGGAAGACGAGTCTTCCTCATCAATGGTCACAGTTTGGAAACGTCTTGGCTCTGATTGGCTAACAGCAGCATGACTTTTCCTCTGCCTCCAACATGTCTGTGAAGGTTCTCAGTCATCCAGGTCTTTCTTTCAAAGCTCATTAGACTCTGCCTCCAACCTAGAATAATGGAGGCCTAGTTTAGACCAAAATGTCTGCAGAGATACGGCCTTTTTATTTCATCTTGAGAGCGAGGAGGAAGAACTGCTTCCTGATCATTTGACAATGCACCTTTCAGAATACCACTTGTATGATTTTAACATTTCATAATACTCGAAGATGAAATAAACAGTTGCTAATGTTTCCCCTGGGCGGTCTGAAGCCAAGATGGGCGTGGTCAGGAGATACGCGTTTCCTGTGCAGAGAAGACCTCTGATGAAGGCTAGCGTTTACTTCTCAGCCTTTCAGAGTGACTGATGAGATTTCAAACAGAAAAGTATTCCACTGTGTCACAGTGAACGAGACCTTTGAACCGAGTTTTGAAGGTAAAGCGAAATCGGTGGGTTGGACCTGAACAAGAACCATAAATCAGTTTTCACTCACAAAGCCAGAACCGGTGACTTTCCACACCTCTGTAGAAGAAACAATCGACACCAACCTAAAATGTTCAGTCACCATGTACAAGTGCACATCACCGGATAATGTACTTCCACTCTTCACCTTGTGATTACAACCATGAAAAATCCAATTACTATCGCTATGGTAACCCCTCCAAAGCTGTCTCGACCAGTCTCAGAGTGTTAGGAACCTGTGTGATGCGTTGTGGCTTGTGCTGTGCCTCTAAACTCAGAGATGTCTTAATAAAAGTGGACTTGGGCTCTGAACACAGGAGGAAAAGCAGCACCTTATAGTAAAACTCTGAATAACCACTAAGGGAAGTCGTTAACAACAACAGATCTGCCTCTACAAGGAAAAGGGCGACCTTGAACATTGTTATTTGATTTTTGTTACAAATGCATTCAGAATGTTCGCTTGAACATTCGGATGAAATGAATAAAACATGGCGTCAGTGCAGAAAAGGAAAGGAAACCACAAATATCCAAATAAAGGAGAGTTTGTGTGATTTGGGTTTTGTGTGAAGGCTGCAGTGGAAGTGTTGAAAAAACGTAAAAAACTGGAAATGAATTCTGAGAAACAGACTCACAGAAAACTCTAAATGTTTAGAAAAGTACTAAAGACAAAGAAGCAGCTCAGACAAATACCACAAAGGTTCTGGTGCTTTTCCAGGAAGGCATCCATTAACATGAACCTCAAATTCCGTTCAATCAGTCGTGAATAAGAGAGCTAAGCTAAGAATAGAAATCTGTTTTCTTTAATAAAAAAGCATCGCAGCCGCTTGCTCTGTTTAGACTGGCTTTCTGGTGAGTCACAACTTCACAGAAACGATCAAATTTACAGATAAACAACCAGCCAAAACATATTTAACAGATAAAAAACTGAATGAAAGAGGGTTTTACTTTTTCCAAAGATCTGACGTTTTAACTGAAAAGCAAAACAAAGTGATAAATGAAAATACTTGACACTACAGTCAAATACCTTTTTACTGGAATAAATCCTGGTTTTACTCACCGGTAGCTCGGTGGCTTCAGGGAGAAACTCTGCATCTTCTCCAAAGATAAAATCGGGAGGAAGTTCTGGATACTGAGCGTTGAAGATGATGTCCCCTAAGAGAGGAGAGATGAAACTCAACATCTGGTAGGAGATGCTAGTCTGGTGTAAGGTTGTGCACTTGCTGCAAACGTGCATTTACCAAAAACCCTTAGTGGAAACCTTCATGCTTCAGCATTCAGATGTTTTAAAACCGACTTCCTGCCTCATCTCCTTGATTTCTTTTCTGTTGAAGCTTTATTATCCCGTTTAGGAAATCCCTCACACACCAGTTCACTGGATTCCGGTCCAGACTTTTGGGATGGCCACCATCTTTTTTGCATTATAACATAAAAGCAGGAACCACATCCTCTAGGCGCTGAAATGATCTGCAGCTTGAAAAAAACGTTGCATTAGATAAAACCTGATTACAAATCTGGTCCAACACAAAGGTCAGTAAAGACGTGAAGCTAAAACTGAAAACCTTTTGTAGGCTTTCAATACACCGAGTTAGCCTGGAAATCTAGACAAACCGTAGCAGTAGCTAACGATTTAGCCCTTCATGGCGGTCTAGCCATGCTCCATTGTCACCTCAGCAGGTTTACCATTGGACCAAACCATTTTGTGTGGATGTTGAGAAGCAATATGTTTTCTTTAACTAAAGAGTGTTCATGCAGGACTGTAATGTAATCTGTGTTAAACATGAATTTGTTTGTTACCCTCAGAAGGTGTCCTCTGTGGCAGCCATCTTGAACCAGCTAAAGAGGAAGCCTGCCTCTAATGCTGCCTTTTTAGTAAAATGCCTGAGTGGAGAACTTTTAAAGAAAAGCATAGAATGAATTATTTGTAAATTTGATGTGATTTACGTGAAGATTATCTAATTATCGAAAACAGCTGAAGGTGGTAAGAATGTTAACATTTTCTTTTCTTCTGTGAAAGGCTGAGGTGATTGGCCGACCTGAATTGGAGGGGGGGTCGGAGGGTATATAGGTGGACTGCTGGGTGTGGCAAGGATCTCTCTCTGAAAGTGACTGAGACTGGAAGAGAGATGGATGGGTGGCCATTTTGAAAACTGCTGAATTTTCTGATTTTTTTTTTTGACCAGAGGAAATTAAACTGGTTTTCCTTGTTCATCAACCAAGTCAGCATGTCTCTTTTGTCCTCACTACACTTCACTGTGTAACAGTGGAGCCAATAACAGAGCTCTATATTTGTAGAGACGGAGGGTGGGCTTGGCACCAGAGACGCAAAGAAGAAAAACTACAAAGATGGCGCTGGCTAAAAGTAGATTGTGACATAACATTACAATGCATTGTGGGATGTAGCCCTAGACAAGCAAGCGTGTATTTGCATGTGTGCCTATGGGTCTGAGTGCCTCGGCGCATCTCAAAGTTAAAGTTGTGTCTCCTAAACGTGCTCAAAAGGGAGGGAACTAAGCACCGCTGTCGGGGGAGGTGCTAACTGGACTCAAGACACTCAGATCGGATATCAGAGGAGACTTTATTGTTCCCCTTTGTCCAAAGCCAGGTAAGGTCCGCGACCACATGAACCAGCTGGAAAGGGAAATGGGCCAAGCTAAAGACAAACAGAGCAAAGCGGTGGCTGCATTTATGTTGAAGGGTGGGTTTTCAGCATGGAGCAGATCAAGGGCATGCACATAAATTTGTTTCACACACTGTGCTGGTGGGAAAGGTCCTTTGTCCAAGAATGCCGAGTCGATAGTAGCAACGCTCTCAGAGCCAGTAAAGAACAAAGAAGTCCAGCCAAACAGCATCCAAACGTGGACAAAAAATGCTTCGACCAGAGGTGGGTGGTATGTAAAAGTAGTGAGACAAATAATAATCTAAGAGTAAAAAAAGAACTTGGAATAAAACCTTACTCGAGCACTGTGAGTAATGAGTAACCTTTTGAGCATTAAAGTTACAATTTTGTTTTTATGGATGTCTGAGCGCTCTGTCCGCATTGGCAGACGAGGTTTGTTTGACGCTAACACCCAGCAGCACTCGCACGGTGACGTCAACTGTAGAAAACGCTGACGAAACAGCTTTGGCATCAACTTAGAAGCATTTAGACTTATTTGTTGCTCTGATGGGTCCTAGCACACAGACACTCTAGCCTCTTTTATAAGACAGACCATCGAGTCATTACAGAGTGATAAATCTGAATTTGTGGGTCTCGTAAATGTGGCAAGGAGAAAAGGGGAAAGGTGATAAAACTCGATTTTGATGCGCTTAGCCTCAAAGTAATATTTCCGCATCAGCCCCTCGCCTCTGACGGATAAACGCGTGTCAGCCCTGCTAATCCCTTTGGAGCGACTGTAGCCTTACCCCTGTAGCCATGAAGAGCTTTGAGAGGTTGGTTATGGCTCACATCAAAGACTCCATCGACGTCACTGTGGACCCTCACCAGTACGCTTACAAGAAAAACCGGTCCACTGATGATGCCATCTCATCCCACACAGCTCTCACTCACTTAGAGAGCAGGAACTCATACGTCCGTCTGCTTTTCTTCGATTTTTCCTCTGCCTTCAACACCATCATCCCACGGACTCTGGTACAGAAACTCTCCACTCTTGGACTGAGCCCCATAATGGGGAATTGGGTGCTGTACTTTTTGACTGACAGACCCCAGACTGTCAGGATCCACAACACCATCTCCTCTTCCATCACCCTCAGCACAGGCACCCCTCAAGGCTGTGTGCTGAGCCCCCTCCTGTTCACTCTGTTGACATATGACTGCTCGGCGAGACATCCCAGCTGCCATATCGTGAAGTTTGCGGATGACACAACAGTAGTAGGACGCATCACTGACAACAATGAGTCAGAGTACAGAGAGGAGGTGGAACATCTGGTGCAGTGGTGCAGGGAAAATAATCTCTGTATCAATGTGAAGAAAACCAAGGAGATGGTGGTGGACTTCAGAAGGAACTGGTGCCCCCCCCTCCCCCCCCTGTACATTGGAGGAGTAGCTGTGGAAGTAGTCTCCTGCTATAGGTACCTGGGTGTGCAAATCACTGAGGACCTCACATGGAGTACCAACACTTCCTGGCTCGTCAGGAAAGCTCACCAGCGTCTCTACTTCCTTAGGAAGCTGTGGCGAGCTGGACTTGGGAGCTCAGTCCTGAGGCGCTTTTACCATGGAGCAGTGGAGAGTGTCATGTGCACCTGCATCACTGTGTGGCACGGTAGCTGCACTGTCGCTGAGAGGAAAGCTCTGCAGAGAGTGGTTAGGGCTGCCCAGAGGCTTGTGGGGAGCAGTCTCCCCAAAATCACAGACATCTACACAACACGGTGTAGGGGTAGGGCCCTCAACATCATGAAGGACTCCACACACCCTGCACATGGACACTTCCAACCCCTCCCCTCAGGCAGGAGGTCGAGGAGCATCCGGAGCAGGACCACCAGGTTCAGAAACAGCTTCTTCCCTGAAGCTGTACGACTGTTAAACTCTGGCCATGCTCGGTAGAGCTCCCCCCCCCCCCCCCCCCCCTCCACACACACATAGGTACTGAGAGCACCTTTACAGTGGACTAATTTCACTTGCACACACACATTTATCATATTTAGTTATCTATGGACTACTGTACATGCCAAGCTCGGTACTTGTTTTTATTTTTAGTGCTTTTTGCTCTTTTCCTACGGCTTTATACCGGGTCCCAAGTTCAAATTTCGTATCACAAGCATGTAAATGTGAACTGGTCTGACAATAAAAATTGCTTAATCTTAATTAATCTTAAAATTCAATTAGTGAATGAGATACAACCTGTTATGGAAATAATCTCTATAAAACACACGATTTACCCATAAGCTTTGAAGAATTTTGTACAAAAATAAGCAACAAACTCCTCATTCAACACCAGAGCAACTCAAACTATGACCACTTTTTCTTTTGGTAAACAATTTTTGAAGGCCCTTCATTCTAAAATTCCCCATTTCTCACAACGAATGCCAAATAACCGTCTGAATTTGTGTCACGAGTTTAATGAGAACATGGAGTAATCCGTCACAGTCCAGACACAAGGAATGTGAACATTTCAGCTAACAGATAGTCGAGATGTGCCTGTTAGTGTGGGCTCGTACAGCCGCTCCCTTTAGGTAAATAAAACACACGCAAAGTCCTACGGATGAAGAAAAAGCACTCCTCGGAGGAAAACTTAACAACTCTTAATTCTGACAAGTTCCTCTAAATTTGGCAAAGGGCTGGAAAACATAACTAAAGTAAATAAAAACAGAAAAGTAACCCCAAATTTGTTTAGTTTGATGCAAAAATCTTACGATAAATGCTTTTTCCAAGCCTAATAGAACAGATTACAGGAGGCTCGTACATCATATGCGCACATTCTTTGAGTCTAGCCACAACTTCCTGCCACAGGTCACCACCACTTCTGCTTTAACCACATTTTTTGCAAAATAAGCAAAGCCTACTTCCTCTATTCTGCCACAGGTTTGATAACATCTGCACCAAACTCACATGGAACTTCACACGTTCGATCAAGACGGTGGGCAAACACAGTGTTGATCATTTATTTTAGTCAAAGACTGGAAAATGAATACAGCTGCTTTCATTTAGAAAAATGGAGGCAACAGTTTGTTTTTAAATATCTCATCAGCCACAGAAACCATCTTCACCACCCCGACCCAGACCTCTGACGCGTGTCGCGTGGGGAATCTCTGAGGAAAGTAGTGGAAAGACGCAGATGAACACAGCATTGTGAAACACTGGAGTCACCTCGATGACTGTGTAAACACGCTTTATTACCAGTTTGATCGGAAAAAAATCATCAAATTGTGACGATTTTTGAAAGATCTTAAGGTTCCATTCCACAGGTGCATTTTCTTCACAAAGACAGGTTTAGAAATCAGTTGGAGGAAAGCTGACGTCAGACTAAACTAATGGACAGAAAGTGGTTTCATGATGTGCAGACATATCTCTATCATCCTGTTATGTGAGTCACCATCAGTCCAGCTTTAAATCACTCAGTTAGAGGTTTCCATTAGACTGAGGGAAGGGTCCGTTGTGCGTGCTCCAGAGGGAAAGTTACCGAAATGGAATCATTACAGTGATTAAAAAGCACCTCTGCAAGAGGAACACTCATTACGCTTAAAAAAAATGATGGCAAGCTACATTTAGAAAAAACAAATTTCAAATCTAGGCTCCACCCCTAAGCCACGCCTCCAGAATACAGGAGAATGCTGCATGCAATGGATACAGTCAAAAAACCATGAAACAAAGTTATTTTACCTTGTTTTACCTTTTCTGCCATAATTTCTAACATAAGCATGCGGAGCAGCCACGGAGCCTACAACCGTCTGACAGACTCCTCAGTCCGGTGGCAATCAGACGTTGTCTGGCCTCTGTCCCAACGCAAAGATTAAGAGACAGGAGCCCCTGGGACTCAGACTGGTGATCCAGTGGGGAGCACTGGGTTTACCGCGCTGAACCCCAACCCCCCCCCCCCCCCCCGCTACTTTCGCTCAGGCCATGTAACTCTACTACAATTAACTCATTCACTGCCATTGACGACTAAAGTCGTCATTTTAGATCCAACCGTTCACTGCCAATGACGACTAAAGTCGTCATTTGCATCTTTTTACTGTTTGAGCATCGGAACGAGCCCCCGCTCTGATAGAACAAGCATCTCAGCCCTGAAGCCGATCTTCATCCGCATACGTCACAGATCACATGATCAGGAAGCAGACCATCAATGTGTTTGGAGATCGTTTTGGGCCGTTCCTGTAAAAAAAGTGAGGCGCGAACCGGAGAAGCATCTGCCGATCACAATTCAACAACGGATTATGAAAGAACAGATGACGCTCGAAACACGCGGCTTCTTCCTGATGTAAGAGGTGAGTCTCCTCTTTGTTTTGGTTGTTTTGGCATCGACATCATGCTAGCGCGCAACGTTCTGTGACTCTTAAAAAAACAGTAAAAACGGTGAGAAACGCTGGCAGCGAAGGCCGTTAGTGATCAGGAAACGGCTGGCAGTGAATGAGTTAAGTATGCTAGCAAATTTAGCTAGCCTGACTCTGGCTTCACTTCCTGTTCAGCTGCTCCAAGCAGAGAACTAGTGATTTTTGCATAAAGGTGTTTGTGGAGAGGGAGTGGGACTTTCAGAAGGCAGCTGGATGGATCCGATCCAATCAGTAAAAGTTTGGATTGGACAAGGTTTTTCCTAGATATGTTTCAGAGGCATTTAAAGAGCAAGTCACCCCTTACCAGATTCTTACTCAACTCCCACTTCCTGTTTGAAAAATGCAACAAATGCTGTTGCCTAGCAGACCGAGAGGGCAGAGCCGCTAAAAAATACACACAGGCTCACAACGACATTGTGACATCATATGGTACCAGCTAACGTTCTAGGGCAGTGGTTCCTAACCTGGGGGTCCCGACCCCCACAAGGGGGCGCCAAAGCCTCTCAGTGGGTCGCCAGGACCTCTCCACTTTAAGGGGTTAAAACTTCATTCATTACTTGTTTATAGCCTACATTTTGCTCACATTTTTTTTTCATGAGTGAAAAGTTTACTGATATTAAGACAGGAAATAATTAGTACAGAAAGAGTAACACACTTTTAAGAACATTTTGCTCAGCTCACTGTTTTATTTTCAAGTGTCAAAAGTTCATTAAAGATAGGACTGGTTGATTAATCACAGCGTTTACAGTAAATAATCTAGTATGAACAGTAATATACACATTTAAGTACATTTTGCTCAGTGTATTTTTTATGTGTCAAACGTTTATTGAAAGGAATGATTGATTTATCAGTGTTTACAAGAAACAATGTGTTCAGAGAAGTAATACAAACTGTCAAGCACATTATGCTCTGTTTGGTTTTGTTAATGACTTTGTTCTGTACTGGAGCCTACTATTACTGTTATCTATTGAATCAAAGCATATTAAAATGTGTTTGAACAATTTTATCATTTCTTAATAATGTTTGTACTGGAAGAGAGAATGGGAGGGGGTCGTCAAAAATTTTACTGGTAAAAAACGGGGTCCCTTGGGAAAAAGGTTGGGAACCACTGCTCTAGGGTACCTCTTAGCCAATAGCGATGGCAGATTTAAATTCAACTGCAGTGCAGTTTTTACCTGACAACGGCACAACACTGACAGTTTTAGGCAGAAAATCAAAATTTTTACTAAAATGCACTAAAGTGCAAAACTATTGACTACACGTGTCTGCAGCACAATTAGACACGCGTTTATATGGTTTATCAGAAAAAAAGTTAATTTAGGGTGACTTGCTCTTTAAAGCTGCAATAGCAAGTTTGGAAAACTATTTAGCTTGAAGCATGTTTTGTGCCTGCTAACTAGGGCTGGGGGTAAACGATTATTTTTAAAACGATTATTCTGACGATTATTTTATCGAATAGTCGACTATTCTAATGACTATTTAGAAAATTAATCTAATGATTATTTTTCTATTGCACAATTAACAAAAACCAGAAAATCTCAAATAAATTCCTCAAAAAAATTGATAAATTCTTACTGTAAGAGAATAAACACTACAGGCCTTCCATTTTGTATAACACTGCGTTTATTGTGTTGCGGTTGGTTATGTTCTGGTGACGTGTAGAACTTAGGAGTGCAGGCTGCTGCCTGAGAGGTGGTAGAAGATGGTGTGTCTCCATGCTGCTTTGTTTTGGTCACTTATGTGCGTGAGGCGAGTGGTCTTACGGGTTAAAACAAACTCAAGGTGATATTTTAAACTAAACCGAAAACCCACAACACTCTAAATGTAATAAAAGGGAGATCTACACCACAAAAAAGATTAACTCTAAACCAAAACGTAACAGCTTATCCAAACGCAAGAAGCTGTTAGCGAAGATGCTAACAGTAGCTTTACCAACGTTAAGTTCAAGTTACCAAGTTTAAATAAACCAAAAACACCCAGCAGCAAACAGACCAGCACGGAGGAGAGACTGCTACCACCAAAACAGCTCTCCTCATGTCTGAAAGAAGCTCCTTAATGAAGGGAGAAGCGCTCCCGGTGATTTTCTACATCTGCGATAGACACGAAGCAGCGCATCTGACCCCGGAAGTTGTTGTCCGTTGCCGGGAGACGAAGGCGGGCAAAACAGGAAAATAATCTAGTAGTGGACGGACGTTGTTCCGGGTCTTCGGTATTTGGCGGAGATGTTAGTGAAGGCGGAGAAGAGGGCGAACTACAGGAAAAACAGGCAGATTCTTCCTCTATTTACAAACTCCTGGGGATGCAACAAGTGGGCGCGGTGCGTCGACTTCCGGATCTGACGTCGACAAATTTTTAGAATCGAGCCGTCGACTTCGTCGAGGCTTCGCTACAGCCCTACTGCTAACAACCTCCTTATCTAGAATAGTTATATACTATGCAGATTAAAAAATGAAAAAAATAAAAATTAAAGTGGTTCTCTCACTTTAGTCTATAAAATCTCCACCTGTGACACGTTTCAGACTGAAAACAACCATTGGACCATCCAGTTGTCAGTCTCACCGAACAGCCACACTTCCCTGGGTAGGCTGCTAGCCGGCTGCTACCACTTCAGCTTTAGGGAAAACTACCAGAGTCCTAAAAGTAAAAACACCTTTTGAAGCCGCGGACAACCAAAGACGTTTGGACCTAGAACATGGTAACTGGTGTTTAACCCCATCTCGTTTGCCCTTGATATCAGGGTGTCCGATTCCAGCAGAAATGTCTCAGGGGAGATACCAGAGGGGAGGGGTGAGTGTTTTGTGACTGTGTGTATTCAAAACTTAGCTTGATACATTATTGCAGCTTTCATTTATTGGTTGCCATGTGATTTTAAGCAATATGGTAAAAATTGCTCCAATTGCTCATCCGGCCCCTCCTTTAACAGATTCCTGTCTGTGCTTTTGGTCTCCCTGATCACTCATTTGAGTGCTGCTGTTGACAGATTTCTAATGTGCTTGAATAAAACATTGATCCAACTCTCTGGCTGACCTTTAAACTCATCAACTGTGACAATTCCACACTAGGTTGGATCTCAACTGAATAAAATACATTCAGAAATGACATTCTTTCCTCACCCTGCGACTCTTTTGCTTAGAATATAACTCAACTGAAGCGAGCTCAGCTGGACATCTTAATCTACGTCATGGGGCCAACAGCTTGAAATAAAAAGTAAAATCCAAATGCAAAACAATGTGCAATCAGCGTGATTAGCCTTCACATGGTTCCACCTGACTTTGTATTTGTGGCTATTTCATTTAAGAACTTCTACATGCAGGCTAACAAAGAGGCTTGATTTGAAGACCCTGAAAAGTCTTGGACGTCCTCCCCCCCAACTTCCTGTTGACGAAACTGATGATTTCTGAAAATGAATGCCCCCCCCCCCCCCCTTCAAAAAAAAAGAAATAATAGAAAAACTGCTAAACAAATCTTAAACAAAATACAATTGATCAATCTGCTCAACGGTAAACATCTATCGCTATCAGAAACATGTCTGGTCTAAGTCGCATCGACAGCTTGAGGCTTACATTTCAGGGTTTCTCCAGCATAAGGAATGTGAAGTTTGAAGCGATCACAGCAAGGTCCCGGAGTTAGAGATGTGCATCTAGACAAAAGGAATAGTTCAAACAAAATTGTAAGCAGAACAATCTAACTTTTGTGCCAATATTAAATCAAACAAAAGACTAAGAACATTTATAAAAAATTAAATAACATTAAAATGTAAGCAGTCATCTTGTATCAAACATAATGACTAGATGAAACTGATGGCATTATCGAGGACATTTTTCTTTTACTAAAGAGTACATATTTTATTTCTGTTAGTTCAAATTATTATTATTATTTTTTTCATTTTCAGGTTCTGGCAGGTGCTACTCAGATGTGTGTATTCTTCTTTTCTGAAGCATCTTGGCAACAGCAACTAATTGACTGGATGTGAACTTTAAGATCCTCAGAGTCTGAAGTTGAAACCTCATCCTCACCCAGTTTTGAGGTCTGTGACCCGGAGACAGTTGGTGGAGTCCAGCCCCACTCTGCCGTTTCTCACCACGCTGCTCAGCAAAGGCCGCAGCTCAGGTGAGAGCCGGTGCAAAGCAACCTCAGGTGACACGCTGTTCATCGTATCTACACTCAGGAGTCTGTAGGACACAAACAAACAAACTTTAATGAGCAGCTTTTAAAACTTGTTAAAACTGTGTTGTATTTCAGAATCTCATCAGTGGTGTTTATTTTGCAAAACATTACTTGAATACACAAGGTCAGCGACCAGGAACCTCTTTACTATCTTGGTGATAGTAAACACATCACCTTTGACATTAAACTAAAAACATTATACAGCATTTCAAAGATGAAAACTAATAACAATTAGACATTAAAATTAAAATAAAAAAACAAATGAATGAATTTCAAAACGGCAAGTAATAAGAACCGAGTAGTAAAACTGTCTCATCAAAACACAATAAAAGTAAAGATACCAAGGTCTAAAGCTCCACAGGACTTGAAAGTTAGGCAGTGAAAGATGTAACTTATTTCATAAATCAAAGTGAGACAAATTCTTCTTCTAAATTTGAAGTCTTAGAAGGTCAAAAAGCATTTTAGTTGTTTTACTTTAACAATTTAAACAATAGCTGGTGTAAAAAAAACGGAGACAGGATAGAAACAAACCATTAGGAGCAATAAAAACCAACATTAAAATTAACATACTGTAACAATCAGAGAGCAAATATGGTGAAGCAACACCGGTGTCGATCTTTGCCATTGTACAAGGAATTGCAATAATATATTTGTGTCATGATAAAAGCCTGAATTACTTTTAAAATCCTTAAAACAGAAGCAGAACTTTACCAGCGCTGACAGACGTAACTGGAAAAACTGTTAAGCCTTTGTACAAAAATCACACTAAAATTTCTGAGTACTGAGTGAAAGCGGTAGAGTCCCAAGAATTTCACTAGGGTTTGTTTTCATTTTATACAGAAAGGTCAATAAATTCTTCAAATGACTTAGGACTGAGATGATCACAATTCAAGAGTAAAACGTATAGTTGATTATTTAGTAATTAAAAGGCAAACTCAATGACAGCACGGTAACTTATTTTATAGTACATAAGCATCTAATTAACATTCAAAACTCTGAATAAAATGAGTACTTCATTAACGAAGACTGACAATTAAATTGTGGATATGTTTGTAAAGCCATACTGTTTTTCTTCTTTAAATGTTATATTTTCTGCACAGGTTTTATTGTTTCCTGAAAATAGTGTTTTATAGAGAGAAATATGCATAATTACAAACAATTCATCCTGATATAATTATCGTAATTCAACAGTGACGCTGACACGAAGAGGCTGTGATAGACATTAGCAGTGAATAGCCGCAACTCCTTTCGCTATATATACACACTTTAACACAACCGAAACATTTCGTTCTTAACTCTGTTAATTTGAACATACAACACGGTGTCTGATAAAGTACCTGAAAGCGTCAGAAATCTGAATATGTAGCAAATAACTGCAATGTTTACTTCTTGCTCTCAAAATTTCCGGTTTACGTCATTTGGGTCTTGGTGTTGGACCCATACTTAGTTATCTAAAATAATGCCTGTTTAAAAAAAGGAATTTTTTTGCTATTTCCCTCCAGGTTTGTTTCTTGTAATTTTTATTTTATGACAAAAAATAGTTTACATGGTTTTTAAACAATACAAAGCATAAATAGTGCTAAACATTTCACTCAGTGACAACGACCCATCAGGCAGTAGCCACAACGCGAGCCGGTTGCTACTCTGTACTCTGACCGTGCCTTGGCTGTTAATCAGATTTCAGTCTGCAAGAACAAGTTTGAGTTTAAGGTAATTTTTGTGTTGCAGTTCGCTGAAACGTCGTCACAACACACTTTCTTTAAAGCTAGTGTTTGTCTTTTTTCGCTAAGTTTGGTTCTAGAGATTCAAAAACGCTCCAAATAACAGGATATGATTCCTGTTATTTCCTTTTATTGCTCAATTAGATTATCACGTTTTTTGCGCACTATCACATGTAGAACCCAGAATTGATATATTTCTACAAAATACAATGTATGCACAAAAATGCGTGTACAAATCATCGACATAAATATACAAATGTACAAATTATTCATGTACAAATTAATAAATCAAATTAACACATAAACTAGTCTAAACTACGTTGATTCTCAACAAAAGCGTGGAGTACAGATCCAGTTACACATAATCCTGCTTATTTGCAATAGGCTACAGTTTCTACACCAAAAATTGATTTAATTATCTGGGACATTTGTGAAATTTATGAACACACAAAGCTTTGGGAATTTCAGTATGTACCATATCTGAAGCAAAGGTTGTGACCAAGGGTTAATCGTTACCCAGATGTGGCTAAAACCTTCAGAACCAGGCTGATTTTTGCCACAGGAAGTGTGGTATGAAGCAGAAGTGAGTCAGCAGTCAACACTGGGACCATAAGGGTTAAACGGGGTGACTGAAACCCAGGGATGGCCTCAAAGGCCACTATCCAGCATGTTTTTGTTGTTTCCCTACTCCAACTCACCTTATCCAATGGTTGAATTAGCTGTTCAGGATGGCATCTCTGTTGAAGCCCGTTAAACACCCACTGATTAAAATCAGGTGTGTTCATGCAGAGATACCTCTGAAAATACAGGAGGGTGGCCCACAACCAGACACCAGGAACTAAGTCTCTTCACATCCTTTTCACTGTTTTTTAAAACAAATACCCTAAACATTTGAAATATTAAAACAATCACTGCATCAATGCTTATTTTATAAACCTACTGGTGTTTGTTTAAATCAGGGGTGTCCAAAGTGTGGTCCGAGGGCCATTCGCGGCCCTTAGGCTGTGGACATACTTGATTTTTAACCTTGCGTTGATGCAGGCTGCGTCTTGTTTACATACTTGCCATTTCACTGCACATGATACCACTAGGGGTCACTGACGAGATCTCATAACGCACAGAGTGCTGGATTTGTAAGGTACAAACTAAACAAACATGGCAATAATTGATCATCAGCTGGTTAATTTTGAGTTCACAACAGAAACAAAAGACAGCAGCGGTATCGTAGTTCACACGTAACACATCTAAATCGGAGACAACGCCACAACAGCGAATGTGTCTCACTCGTTTTGTCAACTCCCCCTACTGGTTACTCATATATTGCAGCTTGTGAAAGCGTTGCGTTAATTTTAGAGGGCACTTCAAACAAGCACAAGTTATGTGAGGCGTTCACGATAAACCCATGCACATAATTAAAAGCAAGTATTATCTGGCCCTTAGACCGAGTTTGTGTGGCCTTCTCCTGCAGCGAACGGCAGAGTTTCGGTCAATCACCATACATTTTTATTTTAACACTTTTTTTAATGAGAGGCATCCGTAAGTTAATGAAGCAACATCACACTCGAGGCCGTGCGTTGTTGCTGAATATCAGCACTGGTGTGATTATCAACGGCCTCGTGCCTACGACCGAATCACGCCAGTGCTGATATTCAGCAACAACGCACGACCTCGAGTGTGATGTTGCTTTTATACAACAGGTCTACCTGCTCATTTTATTTTTAGAACAACAATAAGCAACAACAGATTATGATTTGTTCATTTATTTACTCATTTATCAGGCTCCGCCAACACAAATAGTCCCAACACCAAACGGCGACTCAGACTAGGCCGTTGCTAGGCAACACAAACCTTTTCTACAATAACGGTTAGAACGCCTATGCACAGCAGAGTGATGCTGTTTGTTAACAGTCCCAGTGCTGTTATAGTCCCATATCAGCACTCTTGGAAAGTCTCTTGACCAATCAAATCACTCGGTCGGAACTAACTGTTGTAGAATTAAATATTACATAATGACAATAAAGAGCAATTATTTTCTTTGGAAAAAATACAGGAAAAAATATATTTAATGGAAAGGTTTTAGTACAATGCAAAGTAGGTGTTTTTATTCAACATGCTTTTATTTTGAATCTCATGATAAATATGACTACGAACCCTCACCGACTGTTACTACACAGAAGAAACCAGGTCAAACGTCGATGCTTTTAGGTAAATGAAGGAAACATTTTCCGATGTTTAAGGATCTGCTGACGTAGTAAAATAATACTTTTCGTGTTTTGATTTAACTGTCTCAGTATCAGAAACAATGAGGATTTTATCTGAAATCTCACACGCGCTGTGACATGTACATCTGTCTGATCTAGGCAAATATTAAAAATGAAGAAGACGGTGCGTGCAGTGTTATGTGTTATGTGTTGTGTCTATGAGGGCTTTTGTGGCTGATTCATGCCCGGGGAGAGTCCGCCTTCTTGGGGGTGATTCAGAATCAATCTGTAAGGATCCAGTTAAGAAAAACCTGCCAGACAGCCGAATATACTCGGCTGGTTATCGTCCAAACACTACTGGTGGGACTCCTTTAGAAAAACCAGAACCTTTCCATGCCGAGCTGCAGTTTGGTGTTGTTTATTTAAAGGGGCATTATGGAAGTGTGACAGCCAAAACATGTATAGAAATAATAAATGTCTTCTTCATACGTTCTCCTGCAATGCCCTGGTCCTGTAGAATGAGCCCTGGCATTTTTACTGGGATTGCCTGTTTTTCTGTAAAATCACAGAAGAAGAGAGATGCTCGGGTCGAGCAGGCTGCTTCATGCGCGTTCACGCTCAGGCATCGCCCGTAGCATTTGCTATCCGTAGCTTTAGCAGCAGAGAGAGAGGCAGTGCCACTTTGTCGCTGTTCCTAACGCCTAGTGACAAAGCTAGCTACATTTCTGAGGACCCTTAGCTACTTTCTGTAGAACTTTCTTCTAGATATTTCCTGCAAATTAGCAACAAAATCGCCATTTTCACTCCGAACCGTTCTTTGGTTTGACGTTGTTTCAGCTGTCATCAAGGATATAAATGTTACAGATACTAAGAATGTTACTAGAGTGTAGCTCACCTAGTAAGATATCTGACTCCCATGCAGAAGACCTGGGTTTGATTCTGGATGTGAACATAGTTCATTTAGAGTTTCTTTTTTACATTAATGGTATATTTTTACAGTAGGATGCCCACATTTTTATTTGAGACTCGCCGAACGGCATTGAATTCACAGATAAAAAAGATGTGGGTTCAACTTTCATTTTGGAACAATTTTTCAAGCAAGGGAAGGGAATGATCTGAGCATGCAGGAGGACTGACCCATCATAAACCTTTGTCGGCTGTGCTGAAGAGAAAGGTACAGAACCAAATTATTTAATTAATTAGCTGCATGTTCTCCTGTCCTCTGTCCTCCGGGCCACACACACACACACACACACACACACACAGGACTGTCTCAGCTGTTATTTTTGTTAAGGAGTGTGCACGTACAGCATGCGCGCCTCGTGCACGAGCCTACTCTTGAAGCTGCCGTTACTCTTTTGGCCTGAGGGGGCAATCACGAGCATAGAAATTCAAAAGTCCGTAAAGTCCCTTTAAAGTGAAAACACATCTTCATGCAGAACACCTGATTGACTTTTGTTAATCTTGTTTCATTTAAAATTAGCTCCCTGATGTTAAAGATGTCAGAGAGCGCAGGTCTCTTCGTGTCCCCCTGCAGCTTTTGTATGAGAGGTTAAGTTTTTATACCTGCAGAGTGAAGACAAGACTGTGGGAGAAAGAATTGAGCCATCTCACAGCCAGCGGCCAAGCTTTCCAAGTCTTCCAGTGCCTAGGAAGCGATTTGAGGAGATTAACACACTAGCATTAGCTCTGATACAAGCAGAGGATTGAATTAATTACAGACATCACTGGGCTGTGCTGCATTCACGTGGCGTGGCGTAGCATAGAATTCTCCCCCCACCTCCGGCAAGACTGGAAACCGTCCAACCCAGCCTCTGAACGCTCTATTTTTACCGTCGTCCTTGTTCCAGTCAAACTCATGCTAATGTTGGAGAGAAATGGTGGGATTTTTGTTTGGAGGCTTTTTGAGAAACTACTTTACATATTTTTCCTGAAATGCCTCGCTCTGATCGGCCTGATTTCTGCTGCACAGAACCCAAAACAGACACGTTCACGAATCTCCTCTATCGTCAATATGCAACAAAATGAGATAAAAATGTGTGTTTTGATCAGCAGGTGATGATGGAGGAGGCTTTTGATGTCGTGGTGGTGGGTTCCTGTATGACCGACTTGGTAAGGTGAGTGAGTTACGCCTTTAGTTTTCTCACACAGTTGTTTTACCACCTAAATGATTATAAATGAGCCTTTCGTGGGAGAAGGCCGAACAGAAAGTCTGCCGCTGAAATTGGGTTCAGGAAACTCCTCGGCTTCCTCAAGTGGGTCCAACAGGAAGCTGCATGTTGGGCAACGCTTCATTCACTTATAAGGAAATGAATTTTTAAAACGCACAGCAGACTTTTTCTTTTTCATTTCCTTTAGTTGATAGAATTAACTTTAGAGCTGGACAACTGGCGTTTGATAGATTTTACTAACAAAATAAAATAGTTGCACAAAGAGTTGAAGAAACAACATCTGAATGATAAATGACCCGCACTTGTACAGCGCCTCTCAGAGTAAGGACTCCAAAGCGCTTTACACTACAGTGTATCATTCATCCATTCACACACACATTCACACACTGATGGTGATGAGCTACGATGTAGCCACAGCTGCCCTGGGGCGCACTGACAGAGGCGAGGCTGCTGAGCACAGGCGCCACCGGTCCCTCTGACCACCACCAGCAGGCAAGGTGGGTTAACTGTCTTGCCCAAGGACACAACAGCAGAACTCTGTCCGGAGCCGGGATCGAACCTGCAACCTTCCGATTACTGGACAACCTGCTCAACCTGTTGAGCTGCTGCTGCCAACACTAGGGCTGCTTAAGATATCCATGATCTGTTGATATCACAGTGTCAGCGTACACAAAATCAGCATCACTAGCATCAGCAGATCCTCCACATGGACTTTGTTCCTCTTTTACGCCGTGCAATTCAAAGTCTGACTGTTAGGTGGCAGCAGTTTTACCGCCGTCGTGTCGGAACAATGAGCTCTCGCTTGGAAGCGTCTGACCTGAGCTTTCCAAAATAAAATTAGTCTTGAAACTTGTAAATATGGTCTGGCTTTTAGCGTTGTGACAAACATCATATCGCCAGATTCTCGCCAAATGGAAAGGAACAAATCTTTGTCTAACATCAAAGGTTACAGAAACTTGTCTTCAGCAGGACTCAAACATTATCGTCCCACACAGACAAACAATAAAACCTAGGACCACAGATGCCTAAACTTAAAGAGCAAGTCACCCCCAAACCAACTTTATTTCTGATAAACTATATAAATGTGTGTCTAATCGTGCTGCAGACGAGTGTAGTCAGTAGTTTTGCACTTTAGTGCATTTTAGTTAAAATGTAAATTTTCTGCTTAATACTGTCAGTGTTGTGCCGTTGTCAGGTAAAAACTCTGCACTGCATTTGAATTTAAATCTGCCATCGCTATTGGCTAAGAGCTACCCTAGAACGTTAGCTGGTACCATATGATTCCATTCCATTTTATTTTATTTATAAAGCACGTTTCTACACGGCCGAGGCCGACCAAAGTGCTGCACAGTAAAAGAGCATAAAAACCAACCCACTGGAAGAAGTAATAAAAAGTAGTACAGGAACTACTATAAAAACAATAAAAATAAAAATAAACATCGTAAAATGCCAGCTAGGCTGAAGTAAAAGCCAAGGAATAAAAATTTGCCTTCAGGCGTGATTTAAAATCAGAGCGAGAGGGGGGGCCATTCTCACTGCTAGGGAGGGTTGGTTCCAGAGACGAGGCGCACAGATTGAAAACGCTCACTATGATGTCACAATGCCGTTGTGAGCCTGTGTGTGTGTGTGTGTGTGTGTGTATTTGTTAGCGGCTCCGCCCTCTCGGTCTGCTAGGCAGCAGCATTTGTTGCATTTTTCAAACATGAAGTGGCAGCGGAGTAATACTCTGGTAGGGGGTGACTTGCTCTTTAAATCACACGTCGACACTTCAGAGACGCTCATGCAATCATCGTAGAGTTCAGGGAATTCCCTTTGTCTCGAGGGCTGATTCACACCTCTAATAATAACATTAATTAAGTTAACTATGGCTCTTCAGTGAGCTGCATGGTGGAGCAGTCGGTTGTACTGTTGCCTCGCAGTAACAAGGTCATTGGTTCGAATCCCACCAATGCTCTCCCCTTGCATGGGTGTGTATTTGGGGGGGGGGGGTTACTCCGGTTTCATACAGACCAAAAACATGGGTGCAAAGTTAGCTGGTGACATGTGAGTGTGTGTGTGACAGGTTGTGTCCCTGTGATAAGACATGTCCAGGGTGTCCCCCACCTCCTGCCCAATGACCACTGGAGATAAACGCCAGCTCCACACGACCCTGGTGAGCATGACGTGGGTCTGAAAACCGTAAAACCCTCTAAACCAGAGCTTCTGATCCGTGGTAATGAGATGCACCCCAGAAGTTCTCCGAGCCGGGTCACGGAGCGCCGGATCTTAGTGATAGCGGTGTTTTCCTACGCTGCCCTGCATGAGCTCGAACAGAAGAACAACAAAAGACGCGCGTCTTCGTACCGACAACCAACTAGAGCCAGGTGGGTGGGGAGGAGAGCAGCTGTGATTTTAAGTCTTTTGCTGTTGCTTCTCTGTTTTCCGTCACCTTCTGCAGCCTCCTGCACAAGCCAGCATCTCAGCAGATTTAAAAATAATCGTTGTGAGGATGCAGCTCAGCTTAAAACGTCTTTATTATTATTACCCACAACAACCACCTTTTTCCTGGAGGTATATTTAACATGAACGTCTGCGGCATAAATAGTATCTGGACTAGAGGGTGTTTTCCATCATGGTGTGAAGTGGACCGTAGCGCTCTGCCGCGAGGATAGAGGAAGTGCTCTAAACTTAGATAACGCTGCTGGTTTCTAGTTTTTGGGAGCATGAGTGGTAGTTTGGCTCAGGAGCTCTACTAAATGATTTTCTAAACACTCGTCGGGAGTCCAGAGGAAGGTTTGATAGTCTGGTGCTTGTGTAAATGTCAGCGTTGCATCATTCTCAAATCTGTGGAGCCAAGAAGGATCCATTCCCACAACTCATTAGTCATCAGCTGCAGCTCAGCGTGTTAGCTGAAAACAGTTTGTCACTGGTCTTTGTGAACAATGACACAATCTGGAAAGGCACATAAAGCAGCGTTAACGTCAGCTTCTCACCAGAATGGGATGTTTGATAGTGAGCAGCTCGGAGTACACGAGCGCTGCTGCGGCGTGCTGGAGGAGAGTTTCAGAAACAGCAGTTTCATCTTTGACCGGGCTGCCGTACGAGTCCCCGAATCAGAAACACGTGCCCTCTCCGACAGGGAAGCTTTCCTTTTGCTCCTCATTAGTGAATCCACCAGCAACTTTCTGCTTTGAAGGGCAGAAGTTGTCTATTAAAGCTGCAATGAGCTGTTTTGGGGGGCGGGGGGCTTTTTGGAGGGAGGTCAGACAGCGGATAGTGGAATACAATTTCATGCCTTCAAAGTGAGATGCACCGCTTTGAAGTTGGAAATGCCGTCCCTGTTTGGGTGGCGGTGCAGCTGAGCGTAGGACAGGAGGAACACACTCGCACGAGCTCTCCTCCGCTCCCCAATCTGAAAAGTAACAGACGTTATTCCTCATTTCTGCAGCCGGGAGGTGCAGACCTGCTCAGGCTTTTAACCCTTTGTCAAAGCAACAGAGTGCCCCCTGCTGCCACGGCTCACTGAGGATTTGGAAAACTTGGTGCCGTTAAATGATGGAAAACCCAACAGGAATGATTTTACTTATTCATCTGAAATGTTAGCTCCTCTTTACTTCATCGTTGTTTTCTGTGTGATAAAACGATACATGGAAGAGATGGAGCGTTGGATTAGAATCTGGATCCAGGATTTTTTTGTTCTGTTTGTTGGATTTGGCAGAAGTTTTTATCCGAAGGGACGTAGAGGTGAGGCAGCACGGTGGGGGAGGTGCCTTCCCGCAGGACACAAGGGCTGGGATCGAACCGGCAACCCGCTGTTTACGCTGGAAGTCTGCAGTTTTGTGTTGTTATAAACTAACGACATTAATTAGGATATTTTAGGAGCATTTACAGAACTGTTTGTTATAAATCTATAAAAAACCTTTTTACTTGTTAATGGTAACGAAGGAGTTTCGCTCACTGTTTCACTTTTGGGTTCGGTTTTATCAAACTTGATTTGCATTTTCTGTGCAAACTTCCATAAAATCCTCAATAAAATGGTGAAAGGGAAGCTCGTTTTCCATGTTTTATGTCACACTTCTATATATTTTTTATTCTAATGAGAAGCTGGCAGTTTTTTTTTACTTTAAAGAGCAAATCACCCCCAAATCAACTGTTTTTTGCTGATAAACTATATAAATGAGTGTCTAATCGTGCTGCAGACACATGTAGTCAATATTTTGGCACTTCAGTGCATCTTAGTTAAAATTAAAATATTCTGCCTAAAACCGCTAGTGTTGTCGTCGTCAGGTAAAAAACTCTTCACTACATTTGAATTTAAATCTGCCACCGCTATTGGCTAAAGCCGGGCGTACACTGTGCGACTTTTTCACTTTTTTGAGCCGATTTTCCAGTCGTGCGAGAAGCCACGACATCGGGGCGAGTTTTGCGCCGAGCGGTCGTGTAGTGTACAGGGGGTTACGAGAGGCGATTAACACCACGTGACCAGCCGCCGATCAGCAGTCGTGAGGTCGCAGGGACTTCTGGTGTGTTTAATATTTCGCTCGTCCCTCGTGAGGGTATCGCACTGTTGAAGCGGCGCTGCGAGCAGCTGCGAGCAGCTACGATCCAAAAAGTATCAGAACCGCTCACGGCGCATGCGCGCGCAATCCTGCATCAACGCCGGCCGGTCGCTTGCTATTTCCCTAATAACACACGCTGTTCGTTTTTGTTTCTACACGCTTTTTTTACTCACAAAGATTGTCAAGAAAGCGTGTTTGTCGTGTTCATGTCAAATTAAACTGATCATAAAACACAGATTCACTTTCTTTATTTCGTTTTCCTCATCCAACCCCCATAAATCCCTGTGTGTCCTCCTGCAGCACTCCCGAAGGACAACAGGCAAGACAAAAAAGTCTGACGTGTTGTGTAAAAACTGCTATTTTTAGCACATTTTGGGGCCGACGTGTTGCTACCAGACGTACAGTGTGAGCAGTCAGGTCGCATGCGAGAATTGGGTCGTGCAGTGTGAGCACACGACTCGTGAGATCTGCTCTGCGAGGAAGTCGTACAGTTTGAGCTGAAGCTGAACGCTGCGAGTGAAAAAGTCGCACAGTGTACGCCCGGCTTAAGAGGTACACTATGACGTTATGATATCACAATGCTGTTGTGCAGGGGCGGCGTTAGGCCCGGCTACTTGGGCTGAAGCCCCGGATGTTTCATGAAAAGCCCCGGATCTAAATCGCGGAAGTAACATGCAGTACCAAAGTCCAACAGAGAGGGAGCAGCTGGCAGTAGTTTGTATACAGCCTGCCTGAGCCTCCACCACTGAAGAAGAAGCCCTTCAGCAGCCGGCTTCTTCTACACTCTCTGTCTGAAACGCATGAGTGAAGATGGACATGAGGACGTTTTTTAGACCAAAAGTACGGCGACAGAACCCCAGCTTGTTTAGACTGGTGCTGACTCAGGTTTGTGAGTCTTATTAGAAAATATTTGTTGTGCTGCTGGTTTGCCTAAAGTTAGCTTACTATCAGGTAAAGTTGTTGGAGAAAGAACGGGAATATTTACTATCATCTCACACTAAACACTAACAGGAGCAATACTCTGCCCTGAATATGCTTATTATGTAGCTTCAGATTAATAATTATGTGGTACAAGACAAATATATATGATTAATGATAAATGACCCGCACTTGTATAGCGCCTGTCAGAGTAAGGTCTCCAAAGCGCTTTACACTGCAGTGCATCATTCATCCATTCACACACACATTCACACACTGATGGTGATGAGCTACGATGTAGCCACAGCTGCCCTGGGGTGCACTGACAGAGGCGAGGCTGCCGAGCACAGGCGCCACCGGTCCCTCCGACCACCACCAGCAGGCAAGGTGGGTTAAGTGTCTTGCTCAAGGACACAACAGCAGAATTCTCTGTCCGGAGCCGGGATCGAACCTGCAACCTTCCGATTACTGGACAACCCGCTCAACCTGTTGAGCTACTGCTGCTATATGATGCTGACTAGTGCGTGTCACGTGTGTGTGTGTTAAGCCCCGGATCTTCTTCAGTCCTAAATCCGCCCCTGCTGTTGTTTGTGTATTTGTTAGCGGCTCCGCCCTCTCGGTCTGCCAGGCAACAGCATTTGTTGCATTTTTCAAACAGGAAGTGGAAGTGGAGTAAGTTTCTAGTAGGGGGTGACTTGCTCTTTAAAAGAAACTAGATAGAAAAATCTATGTGCTAGTAATTTAATCTCTAATGATAAAAAAGGAAATAAAGACACTTTTGTTGGAAGTGGAATCAGTTTAACAGAAAAAGACGAGTCTTATATTCTGGTGCATCTGCTCTGAAACCTCTACGGCCGTGTCCGTGGCCGACCCAGGGTCTGGCGGTAAGTGGCGGTCTCTGACCCTCAGCTGTAATGGCAACTCCCACGTGGCTCCAGAAAACCCAGCTAACACACACAGTTACACCCCCACACACTCGCTTACTCTCCGTGTACGGAAAGCTGTGCTTAACCTTTATTAAATCCGTTCCTCGCCTTGTCCTGATTTCATGGAAGTTCAGCAGCGGGAGTGTTTGTGGACCAGGACGACCACACAGAATAACCCCTGGGCTCTTCTTCATGTCAGATAACTTACTGATCTGAGTTCTGGTTTTGAGCTGAAGGACAGAAGTTAAATGTATTTATCCTGGAATCGTGTTGCGAGCGTGAAAACGTCAACAGAGCTTTCAGAATCCACTTTGGAGCGTCTGGAATGGGAAAGAATAGTTCTAGTTCAAACTTTGGAAAACAACCTGTTCTTGTCCGAGTCACTTCCCCGTGCCGCCGGCCTCAAAGCAAACACCTCACGTCACCGAGCACCTGCTCTGGCCTTGTGCCTCCGTGGGAGAAAACGCAGCGAGGCTGCTCTCCAGGACATCTTTGCTCTGTTTGCTCACATCGCTCACCACAGACAACAATAGCCAAGTGTGTCTGAAGGCTTTTCGAGGCGGCTGGGTTTGTTCTAGAGTTTGTGAGTCTGTTTGTCTTACCCGTCAGTTCCTTCGGATGGTTGCAAGTCACAGGTTTAATCGCGTTGTTAAAACTTTAATGGCAGCATGACTCCGTTTGTTTATGTCCGACTCAGTAAAGGAAAAGTCACCGAGCTCCACAATCCAGTCAGGACCCTGATGGTGGTTTTAACCCCCAGAGACCCACGGTTGTAAGTCTACAAAAATAAACCTTCCCCTTTTTTTTTTTTTTTTTTTGCTTTTTAAAACCACATTTACATTGCTAATGGGTCCTATTGTTCAGTTCTGCAACACTATTGGCTGTTAAAATGTGTAAATAGGCCCGTTTATCTGGCCTCCTAGAACATGTGAAAGGTTAAAAAAAGATTTTGCAGTTGTTTTCTAAATTTGGGTTTCTGGGGGTTAATGAGATCTCTGACTGAGTGTTTTATTATAATAAAGCTTTTAGTGTGTTTCTGATGTTTGTTTTACTTTGAAACTGTTTGCCTTTTCGCACCTTGTTTAACTTTACTTCCTGTTTTATTCTGAAGCATTTGTGCATCCTGTTGCTTCTCTTTCCGACTTTGATCCAGGCCTTTGCTGATACTTATGATTATAGCCTTCCATATATTTGTGTAATTTTGGAGTTTTTCTGAACTTTTTGTTACTTTTGTCCCATTTTTCATTTTTCCTCCATTAAGAATTTCGTTCTGCTTACAGTCGTCTTTATTTTTGTTTAAAAGTGATTAAAACTTTAAGTTTGAACTCTTTTATTGTTCTGCGAGTAAATCTGTTGTTTCGGCATCATTTTCATTCAGCCTGTGTCGTATTTATTCGTTACTTACAGCTTTCTTACACTTAATTACAGTTTTCATTCCTAAACTTTTGTTTTAGCCAAGACGCCAAAAAGAAGTGTGCCAGGTACAGGTTGTGTGTGTGTGTGTGTGTGTGTGTGTGTGTGCGTGTGTGTGTGTGTGTGTGTGTGTCTGTGTGTGTCTGTGTGTGTGTGTGTGTGTGTGTGTGTGTGTGTTTCTGTGTACCACCTCTGTTGCTTTTCCTTGCAGGCACATTTCAGCCTCTCCGACCCCACATCCTGTTGTAGCTCTTGCTGTTTTTTTAGTGTTTCTCACAGCCGTGTGAAAACAGAAGCATTTTTAACTACAAACAGCTCAGTTACTGGAAATCCTGGGATTGAGTAAACTTACAGTAACTGCACACCTGCCACACACACACATACACACACACACACACACACACACACACACACACACACACACACACAATCAGGAAAAAGTGCAACAACGGGGTTGAAAACAAGTTTATGACAACGTGGTGCCACCCACAAACCATCTGGCCCCGGGCCAGTTCAGCCCAGATCCAAACCACAGAGCCCTGGTGTTGTCTCACCCTTCTGTTACTCACCTCCTGTGCAGACCTGTGATTGGAGAATTCAGGAGTTAGACAGGCCCCTCCCAAACCCACCTGTGGCATGTCAGCCTGGAGGAAAAGTTTGGACTGGACCAACCAATGAGTCACGCGTCTTTTCTGACAGGTCGAGACGTTGATGAGATTTGCTTGTTGCATCATTTGTACATTTGCAGATGACTGCATCAGCTTATTTGAGCGATGAAGTCATTTTCATGTCTTTTCATCTCTGTAGATCTTTTATACCCAAATCAGGACTGGAACAAAACAGGTCGTCTGTTGGTTGATTCGTTCCTGTGATGTCTGGATTGTTTTAACCCATAAATCTGCAGACTCCACTGAAAACTCACTGCTTTTGCTCAGTGGTGCAACTGTGGAACAATGCAGTCCTGAAAGGATTACCTGAATGGTCATTAGCTGGATTGGAACTTTGTTCTTTTAATGTTTTTAAACTTTTCTAAACTTCAACAAGTGGATATCCCAGCATTCCCATATTTATCCCAACTAAAGTTTGTAATGTCCATTCCTTTAATCTGTCCCCAATGTTTGTTTTCTCCCTCAGCCAGACACCAAGGCTACCCAAAGCAGGGGAAACCATCCATGGTCACAAGTTCTTTATTGGCTTTGGGGGTAAAGGAGCCAACCAGTGCATTCAGGCTGCCAGACTGGGAGTCAAAACCACCATGATCTGCAAGGTCTGCTGCTGAGCTGTTTAAGTGTGGGCCACTTTGGATTCTTCATTATTATTTCTCTTTTTAAAAAGAATCGTCTTTACTTGTCCAACCTTTGGCTGGTTCGTGCCTTACTCAGTAGAAATAATCACCCGTTAGCCTCCATCGCACAACAGCTACTTAGCAAGTCAAAATCAAAATGCTTTAGCTTCGTTCACACTTCAGTCACTTCACAACATCAACTGTCCAAGCCTCATTTTCTCATGATCAATAAGATAGCGCATGCATTCGCCCGCCCACGCCTGCGTGCCTTCAAACAGGCCTATTCCCAAAGCACGCAACCTCCAGTCTCCAATCAGTAGGCTCAGCGTGGCCTTCCAACCTGAGCACTAAAGCACCGAGGCCCCACCTCAGTCAGAACAAAGAGGCCCGATCGATAACAAACTAGTGCGGGAGGAGCTCTCCGGGCATGGGGAGAACCCAAAAATAGACACCCAGGCTTGTCAAAAGACATCCAAGCCGAAAGGCCGCTCTTCAAAGAGAATGGGGCCAAGCAGCCAATACCATCCAGCCCACTTATCGCAGGCAGCTACACATTCTCACATTCTGGCAAGTTTTTTTAGTAAGCGTGGGTTCGAAGGAGACGCCTCGAGGCAAGGTGGGGACCCCTTCGACAACTCAAAGTAGCTACAGATGTGGACATCCCAGAGCGGATAAGTAAAAGAGGGGCAGGAGGGAAAGGAAGCGATAGCGAGGTGGGCTTGAAGAGGCGTGAAGGCGGGGTTATCGTGTCTTCGAGGCTTGGCGCAGCTGGTCGTGTGTTTGCGAGTGTGTGCGTCTCTTGGCTTTGTTTGTTCGTTTTTGCACATTTTCGGCACCGGCACCATGCCAGTATGCTGGCAGGGCACACAAACATCTAGCCCAACAGAGATTTGAGTGTTTCACTTTTCAAAAGTTGCCGCTAACCAAGTCTGACCCTACTTGACACTCTCTTTGTTGCAATCGTTTTGTTTGCAATCTCTTCCAGGTTGGTAAAGACTTCTTTGGAGACGCTTATATCCAGAATTTCAAGGACAACAATGTGTCTACAGGTAAGATGCAGCTTTTCTTCGAGACAGACGAACCAAAATGGTGGTCATCTCCATGGCGTCCTTCAAAAAGTCCCCAATCAAGCCAACTCTTTTCATCATTCATTGTTTCTTAAAGTTTTGGGACGTGTGCTTTCAACGTTTCTACCCCGTTTTCTCTCTGCTGCAGACTTTGTATGGCAGACTTCTGATGCAGCCACAGGAGCCGCTTCAATCACCGTCAACGATGCAGGTAAATGCTCACACCGCCGACCCACGCCGCCCTGCTGAGATCCAAAAAGCTCTTTTGAGTCGTATAGATGATTTCATGCATGCACAGCCAAGAGTACCTGTAGGCCATCAGCACGGCCTTTTTCTACTGGAACACACACACACACACACACACACACACACACACACACACACACACACACACATACACACACACACACACACACACACACACACACACACACACACACAATAGACCCATGTATGCTACGCTTAAGTAGCCACTTTTCAAGAGATTGAAATCAGTGGACACACACACACACACACACACACACACACACACACACACACACACACACACACACACACACAGCTCAGATTCATGCATTTTTCTTTTTGCATCTTATTTTATGCAGCAACGTTTGAAGCAACAAAAAAAAGCCCCAGTTTTAGCTCAAGCCTAGGTTGGAACTGAATGCTTTCTTTTTAAGAAAATCAAAATTTAAAGGCTTTAATCTTTATTGTTCATGTTAGATTTGTTGGATTTAGTTGTGATTAACCCTAACTTCTCCAGATTAGAGTTGACGTTCTTTGCTGTCGCTTCTATCACTGGTCGTGGGTCTTTGACACCAGTTCAGCGTTGCTTGAGTTGCATCTGACTTGGAGTGGAAGAACACACGAGGATCAAACGCAGTCTGAACGGGAAACACTTGCATAGGTTACATCTGGTTTTAATCTGGTTTAAAATAACTTGGGTTTTAAAACAAAGATCAGCTGTTTGGGCGGTGAATCCTCGGCTAATGAAAAGTCATAAAACATTTTCATCATCACAGTTGTGAAGCTTCATGTTCTGAAGACTTTTAATGGAGACTCGCGCTTTTTGAAGCCACCTTTGTGTCCTCGCCTGTCCTTTTGTGTGTCTACGAGCAGGTGAGAATGCCATTGTGATTGTGGCCGGTGCCAACATGCTGCTGGGTGGAGACGAGCTGCAGAAAGCTCTCCCGGCCATCCGAAAAGCTAAAGTGTTGGTGTGTCAGCTGGAGATCAATCCACAGACTTCCCTCCAGGCTCTACAAATGGCTCGCGACAACAAAGGTCAGTCAGCGTCCGTGCAGAGCCGTCATCACGTTTGGAGTTCAATCTGAAGTTAGAAATTGTGTCGTTTATTAGAAAAGATTTAATAAAAGTTTAAAATAAACTGGAAGCCAACTTTTCCAGTTAATGTCACAGAGCAGATGGTCACATTTCAGCATCATTAGCTGTGTTTGGTTTCCCCAGCTGTGGTCTTTAAAGGTTCAGTTAGCTCTGTGTTTGATCACTTTTAGAGATATTTATTCAGATGCACAATAAAAATGTTTGTTTTTTAAAAGGTTTAGCCAAGAATCTGATTTTAGGATGTTTTATCTAAACCAGTCCCACTAAGGCAGTGGTTGTTGTGGATTCATGCTGAGGAAGAGGAGCAAAAGTTAACAGCTAATGCGCTATAATCTGCTGCTCAGTGGGCCATCTGTGTTCTCAGTTGTGAGTATGTACGCTGCTTCTGGTGTAATCCTCACTGACGACCACGCTGAGCCTCCTCCGGCCTTGGAAACCAACCACAAGTGGTCGGTTTTGGACCAGAGGATGAGGAGCGATCCTTGAAACTTGACTGGGGGGGAAAATATGCATCTTAAGCAGAGGTGGAAAGAGTACTAAAATGTCCTACTTAAGTACGAGTACCAACACTTTGATAATTTTTTACTCAAGTACGAGTAAAAGTACTTGCCTAAATTTTTACTCAAGTAAAAGTAAAAAGTATCATAAACAAAACGTACTCAAGGTAAAAGTTACTCAGTTACATTTTTGTCAGCGTAAGGATGGCTACATCTAAGTTGTGCTAAATCACAACGCCAGTTCACACCGGTGCGCGAAGGTGCGGGTTCCAACCCGCAGGAGAGGAGGGAGAGAGGAGGTACACAGCGAGTTGATCGACCGAACTGATGTCTTTAAGCAAAAGTATACACCCCCCCACGGTTTAGACGCGATGCTCATGCACGTGTCTCTTTCCGTTCCGACGCTGCTACACATAATATTTTTAATTTATTAAGCCTATAATTTAGTTTTACTCAGTAACGGATATGATTTAAAATGTAGCTAATTACAACTCTTTCTTAAAAACTCACTCAAGTAAAAGTACAGATTTTTAAAACTACTTAAAAAGTATAAATATACAAAAAAGCTACTCAATTACAGTAACGTGAGTAAATGTAATTCGTTACTTTCCACCTCTGATCTTAAGGCCCAAACTCGTCATTCTTCCACACGCTTATGCAACATGAAACCCAGCGATGCCATCAGAGCGCGTGCGGGAACATTTGGGATCATTTAGCTAAATAAGGGTTCGTTGGAAACGTTGGTGTTATGGAGTGAGCCCCCAAAGGTCTTCAGTGAACTTTACGATGAGATGTTTTAATTTTAAATACCGGTTAGCTAATTTAGAAAAATCAAGGTAAACCAGAAAAAGCAACATCTGTTTAAAACACTAAACACACGACTTCCGTTAGAAGTTTTAGTTTCTGGACTCTTTTCTACGTCTAATGTTCGTTATTTAGCAGATTCTTGAATCCAAAGTGTTGTACTGTTTCTGATACAGCAGTGCAGCGATTTCACTTGACATGCTTGCTTTTGGCCTGTGGGAGGAACCCACGCAGCAGGGTTTTGAACCAGCAGCCTTCTTGCTCTGATCCAACTCAACACCTAATTTGTAGCCATGCTGCTAGGGGCTGCAAGAGGGCACAGCCCGTGTTTGTTTAGCAGCTATAAGATGTACACTCGCTCTGTGGCTGCAACAGTCACAGATCAAATGTCTTAATCTGGTGTTTTGAGCTATTATGAGAGACCTTGTCAGAAAATATGCCCGATTGTTTGTTATTATAAACTCTTTCAGTCCCTTTTACTTTCGACATGCCCACATTAGTCAGTTACTGAGGGTAGCTTTACTCCTGTGTTTTTAAAATACTGAGTGTAAACAAATGATGAGTAGCAGCTGAGGGACTTGCTTCAGTGGGTTGGTCTGTATGTGAACACATAATAATGACTCATTCATGCAGTCATAAGACCCGGTCACAATTAGGGATGCACCGATACCGATACTGGCATTGGCACCGATACCAGTATCGGTATCGGTAAAAGTTAACTGATACCGGGAACCGATACCATTGTAGTTGCTTGAAAATGGCTTCCCTGTAACTTGTCATTTCTGTTCACCTAATATTTTAGTTTTGTGATGATTTCTATTCATATATTTTACTTTTTATCTACCTCACAGTCTTTTCCTGTGGAAAGCAGAGAAGAAAATGAAATCTGTATTCCAAATCATTGCATTTTGTGTGTGTGGTAGAAGTATCGGTATCGGTATCGGCGAGTACTCGGATCCAAGTATCGGTTTGGAAAAATGCGGCATCGTTGCATCCCTAGTCACAATTCCATTCACACTTTCCGAGACTGATTTTACAGAAAGAAAGACGCAACCATCTAAACTATTTATAGTTTAATACTGACTTCATATTCGCTTCACATTTGCTCTTGTAACTTAGATTTTTTTGTCATGTTCTGTGTCCTGGTGGTCCCCAGCCCCCTCCAGGTTCCCCTCATGTGCCCCCTAATCTTCTGTGCCCCCCTTTTGGTCCCCAGCCCCCTCCAGGTTCCCCTTTAGTCACTTCACTTATCATTAGTTTATTTATCGTTAGTCTTTGTTCTACGGTGTTTAAAGTTCAGGATATTTTAGTAGCTCCTGCTTATTTCTGCTTCTTCCCTCAGTTCATTAGTTTCACCTGTGCCCAGTTCCCCACGCACCTGCTCCTCGTCTCCTGTCACCTAGCCCCGTCTGTGTCTCTCAGCGTTTGTCGGCCCGTTGTCGTTGTCAGTGTTGTTCTGTTTCTCCTCGTGAAACTCTAGGTTTAGCTCATCAAAGAGCTTTTTGTTTTTGCCAGTCGGGTTACTGACCTTAGGCTTGGCTTCCTGCCCCTTCTTGGATTTTTGGACATCGACTCCCAATAAAAGGATTTTATGTTCTACTACGCTCCTGCCTTGTGTCGTTCTGGGTTTCCGCATCTCGGGTCCTGACCTCCTCCTGGCTCAAACGTGACATATCTGAAGAAATTTAGATTTTCATGCAGATTTCTGGTCACTTCTGGTGCTGAGGTTTCACATCAGTCAGGAAATTATTCAGCACCAGGATCATCACCCTCCCCTTTCCCCATTTTCATCCCTCCACCTATCGTTCATAACTGGTTAACGGAGCCAATCGTCTATTATTAGCAGCAGCTCCGCGTCACTCAAGACGTCTAGGGAGCCGCTCGCCCCTGTCGTCCATAATCGCTCGCTGCAGGCTGCCAGAGCCAGAGAGTCGCAGCCATCGCCGTGTTGCAGATGGGATACCCAGATGGCCTCTCCGAGCGCCACCCTCGTTCCTCCAGCCCCCTCCTCTCCGTGTCAACCATGCCACGGGCGTCAGCTTGGCATGAGGTGCCAGGAGAGATGCAAGGCGACGTTTGGCAGCGATGCCACCTCAACATCGCCGCACCAGAGCATTGCGTAGATTGAGTCCTCTGAAGGGAACGAGTGTTAATGGGTTTAATAATGCGGGGGTGAAGCCACACTCAAATTACGCAAATGTCACCGTCGAGCAACATGTGCTGTGGATGCCAGCTCTTAGAAAGTCTTGATAGAAGTTTTCCTTTCATTCTGGCCATTATTTGAGGTGAAAGTCGGCATCAATGTTGCCTTTTAACACTGAGAAGTTCGTAGAAATGATCAAAGTAAAAAGTGGGTTTGTGTAGATTTTTTCCTGTGACATGCAGCGATCATTTCTCTCACCGGATCATATCAGAGCCCCTTAAAGCCTGCCAGTCCTCACTGGTAACTCATCTCCTTTGTGTGTGTGTGTGTGTGTGTGTGTCGTGCATTTTCTCTCCGGCCTTGTTTTCTGTCCACCTCTCCTAAATCGACCACATCAGCAAACAGCTGGACGGTTCTGCTCCCTGAAACTCCTCCGGCTGCTCTCTCAGCTCATGTGACTCTGAACCAGCCAGAGCAAAACAGCCCAGAGCCATGAACACACACGCACGCACACGCACACACACACACACACACACACACACACACACACACACACACACACACACACACACACACACACACACACACACACACACACACACACACACACACACACACACTCACACACACACACACACACACACACACACACACACACACACACACACACACACACACACACACACACTGCTGTTCCAGACGTGACTCAGGGAGCACACATCCCAGCATTGCTACATCTGTCCCAACAGCTGTGAGCGTGCTTTTGTGCGCTTCACCAACACCTGGAAGGAAAAACAGAGCCACCTGAGACAGACGCGTGCAGAGTCACCGCTCCGTCATGACGGCGAGGCAGGTTCTCATCGAGGATTTCACCCACGCTGCGCTTGTGTGGTTATCGATAAGGTTCCTTCCTGGAATGTTGTCCGCGTTCGGGTCGTGTGTGAAGGTCTCAGCCTGAACATCGCAGGAACACGCTCCAGCTGTTCTAACCGTGAGCACACACACACGGTGATGATGATGAGTCCAGCAGCAACAGGACTGAGTCTCTGTGGTTGCTTTCTGATTCGTGTTTACTTTAGTTGTAAACATCAGAAAAATAAATGTCTGACTGGACTTTAACACAATTTAATACACAGAGTTTAAATATTTGCCACCGGCTGAAATAAATAAGGAATTTCCTCACAAGATTGTATGGACTGATATGAAAACGTGGGCTGTTATCCATGTCTGAGATGAATTCTGCTGTGTCTGGGGAAACGTGGTTCAAGTGGACACTGATTTATCTAGACTCTGGCCCAGTCTTGAGGAAAACCTGTTTAAGTCTGGACATTTACAAACTAGATTGTTCCTTGATTCGATTATGTGCTCATAAAGAAGCGCACGCACTTTTCAAAAAGCCAGTTCTCGCCGAAGTGACCGAAACTGGGTTGAAACAGGAAGAGCCACGTCTGCTGTGTGTTCTGAGCTCTTCACGTAGAAACATTTCATGTGTGTTGGAAAGCAGACATTTCCACTTTTACATGCCAGCCGCTGAGCATCCACCTCAAAGTGCCAGGTGGCCAAAGCCCGGCGCAAACCCACGCATCTGCTCTCAGGCAAGCCCACGCAAACACACACTCACATTTCTGCACAGCAGACTTTGATGTCACCTACGACGCTGATTTCGCTCAGACGCTGGCGCGGGGTTTTATTTTGTACACACAGATATCAGAATTAATCGCTTCGTCGAGCTGGGCTTATCCTCGCCCTACACAGAAACCACGGTATTAGATGCATTAATGCTCTCCGCTCATGAATATGCATCAGACAATGATCTGCAACACATCCAGAGGATTACTTCTGACACACACTCTGGTTCTTTTAACGCACATGAGAGGGTCACAACTCATCACGCCCACACACACACACGCACGCACATAAATTTATACATCTGCTCCCTTCATGTTGAAGCTTTTTCTCTCACACACCTGGTAAAGATGCTGAATGCTGCTTTAATTGTTTAAAAGGAGCTTTTCAGTAGCAGCTAATGGACCTCCCATCCATCCATTTTCATCCGCTTATCCAGAGTCGGGTCGCGGGGGCAGTAGCCTACGGCGAGAGGCCCAGACTTCCCTCTCCCCAGCCACTTGGGCCAGCTCCTCCGGGGGAATCCCAAGGCGTTCCCTGGCCAGGTGAGAGACATAGTCCCTCCACCGTGTCCTGGGTCTACCTTTAGGTCTCCTCCCGGCTGGACGTGTCCAGAAAACCTCACCAGGGAGGCGTCCAGGAGGCATCCTGACCAGATGCCCGAGCCACCTCAACTGGCTCCTCTTGATGTGGAGGAGCAGCGGGTCTACTCCGAGCCCCTCCTGAATGACCGTTATTCTGACCAAAGGCCAAAAAGACCTGATAGGACTCTTTCTTCAGCTTGACAGTATCTCATCCCACCAGCGGGTTCGGGGGTTGCCACCATGACAGGCACCGACGATCCTGCGACCACAGCTCCGGTCGGCCTCCTCAACAATGGAGACACGGAACAGGGTCCATTCAGACTCAGTGTCCCCGCCTCCCCTGGAACATTTTGGAAGTTCTGTCGGAGGTGGGAATTGAAGCTCCTTCTGACAGGAGACTGCCAGACGTTCCCAGCAGACCCTCGCGATACGTTTGGGCCTGCCTGGTCTGACCGGCATCCTCCCCCACCACCTGAGCCAACTCACCACCAGGTAGTGGTCAGTTAACAGCTCCGCCCCTCTCTTCACCCGAGTGTCCAAGACATGCGGCCGCAGGTCAGATGAAACAACAACAAAGTCGATCATCGAGCTGCGGCCTAAGGTATCCTGGTGCCAAGAGCACATACGGACACCTTTATGTCTGAACATGGTGTTCATTATGGACAATCCATGACTGGCACAGAAGTCCAATAACAAAACACCACTCGAATTCAGATCAGGGGGGCGTTCCTCCCAACCACACCTCTCCAGGTCTCACTGTCGTTGCCCACGTGAGCGTTAAAGTCCCCCAGCAGAACGAGGGAGTCACCGGAAGGAGCGCTCTCCAGCACCCCCTCCAAGGTCTCCATAAAGGGTGGGTAGTCTGAACTGTAGTTTGGTGCATAAGCACAGACCACAGTCAGAACCCGTCCCCCCACACGTAGGCGGAGGGAGGCTACCCTCTCATTCACCGGGGTAAACCCCAACGTACAGGCACCAAGATGGGGGGCAACTAGTATGCCCACCCCTGCTCGGCGCCTCTCAGTGGGAGCAACTCCAGAGTGGTAGAAAGTCCAACCCCTCTCAGGGAAACCGGTTCCGGAGCCAGAGCGATGCGTTGAGGTGAGTCCGACTATGTCTAGTCGGAACCTCTCGACCTCACACACCCTTTGTTCTCACTGAAAATGTATTTAACACGTGGCCAGGTCTTCGGAGGAGAGAAATGCCTCATAATCACAAAACGTTTTATTGTTTTAGAGTCATTAAAGTTGCTCTTAAGCTGAATCCAGGTAACAGGTGGGTGACCGGAGGATTAATGGATCACTAACACTGTTTTGTTTGGATTGTTTCTCGTTGCAGTGAAGACGGTTTTCAACCCCGCGCCGGCCATCCCGGACTTGGATTATAATTTCTACAAGGTCTCTGATGTGTTTTGCTGTAACGAGTCAGAGGTGAATATTGATTTTTTTTTAATGAGTACCAGATGATTATGATTCACTGCTGAAAGGAAAAAGGTGATTTTAGCCCAAAATCTCAGGGACTTTGTTGTGTTTGCTGGTCTTTATTAGCTCAGCCAACCGAGAGTCGTCCACGCTAAATACCTACATGCTAACTGATAGCACTGCCTACAAGTCTGCCTCGTTCGTGTTATCTTTGGTGACTGCAGGCAGGACTAATAATCCAAAACAGCTGTTTAATAACACCATAAATAAATTTAAAAAAATTAATAAACAAATAAAATTCAGTTAAAAACTTGCTGCAGGCTACTGACTGTGCACCTCCTCTCTGTTCTCCGTCCTCCCGAGTCGTTATTCCGACCACGGTGGTGTTATGTGAAAGTTTTATGATGTTGTTGCTGGGGTGAGTAGGAGTGTGTTCGGAGTGTAGAGGAGCAGGCGGCCCTGTGGGGAAGCGGTGCTGCAGCTGAGAGCTGTGGAGATGTGGGAGCCCTATCTGACCTGGTGGATGGTGGAAGTCCTGCTTCTGACAGCTTGGACACTCGCCTCCGTGGGAGGACGGGTTTGAACGCTGAGGTGTAATCCACAAATAGAAGTCTGCCGTAGGTCCCCTGCTGCTTCAGGTGGGTCAGAGTTGCAAGCAGGGCTAGTTGGAGCGTCCTCAGCAGATCTGTTCGCGCTGGCGAACTGGTGTGGGTTCGGGTCTGCTGGTGGGCTGGTGGTTATATGACTGCTCCAGTTTCTCACTTCATGAGGATGGCTGTTGGAGGCTGTGGTTGTTTTAGTCAGTGGGATTATGATGGCAGTGGCCTGGGACAGCGACTGGTAGAATAAATATCCTAAAGGTTCCCACCAGCTGGTCTACAGAGAAACTCAGCACCCATCCAGCCACCCCGTCAGGTCAGTCAGAGCCTACTGAACTCAACGACTCAGACTCAGTCCGTATTACAGATATTCAGATAAGTTAGAGGAGTTAGTAGCTAATAGATGAAAATACATATTCCAAATACTTGAAGCGATGTTGGGGAGATCACCTTTGTTACTATTTTCCGTCAATGAATTTTAGGTCTTTATAAAAAATGTTCTTTCGCACTAGAGTTTAAAGAGCAAGTCACCCCCTACCAGAGTATTACTCCACTCCCACTTCCTGTTTGAAAAATGCAATAAATGCTGTTGCCTAGCAGACTGAGAGAGCAGAGCCGCTAACAAATTCACACACACACACACACACACACACAATGACATTGTGACATCATATGGTACCAGCTAACGTTCTAGGGTACCTCTTAGCCAGTAGCGATGGCAGATTTAAATTCTAATGCAGTGCAGAGTTTTTACCTGACAACGGCGCAACACTGACAGTTTTAGGCAGAAAATGTACATTTGAACTAAAATGCACTAAAGTGCAAAACTACGACGACACGCGTCTGCAGCACGACTAGACACATAATTTATATAGTTTATCAGAAAAAATAAGTTGATTTGGGGGTGACTTGCTCTTTAACTTGATCTCAGACACACAACCTGGGTCATGACCCCTGCTGATACATCAGCATTTTATTCATCCATATGAACTCTGCTATGAAGAAGACAAAAAGTATGTCAAGACGCCCTGAGAGCTGACTGTCAGGCGGTGACAGACGAGCAGCAGGGGGCAGGGATGGATGGGAATGGTAGAAAAAACAACAGGGCAGATGTGCTCTGTGGCTGAGTCAATCACTCACACACACACACTCACACACACACACACACACACCCTGGGGAAGAAGTGGATGACAGTTTACCTGAGAATTTTTATTAGACGTGGGGGTGCTGGGTGTCGGGGTGGCGTCGCAGGTGTGGGAGCATGAAAGGGAGAGTCGACGAAAAGCACAACAAGTCTTCTTTTTCTGATTGTCAGGTCATGGAGGCTCTGTCACGTTTGTTGTTACGGAGTGTGTGAAGTGTTGAAAGAGCCTAAAAATGTCCCACCCAGGGACCGGTATTAGTCTTGAGCTGTGAGGAGAAGAAGATGAATAAGTCACATTCCTGCTGTACTTACAGTTCGTAATAAAACATATGAAGGCAACAGAAGGTAGGGGCAGTGGCAAGAATCTGACCATACGACATATTTCACAACACTAAAATACCGTTTAACATTAACAATACGTCAGTAAAAATAAAGAACAGAAAACGGATAACTGCAAATTCAAACTAGCAAATACAGCAACCAAACCAAATAAACCCCTAGCAGCACTTTAGAAGCCAGAAGAATGGTGATAAATGATAAATGACCCGCACTTGTATAGCGCCGCTCAGCGTAAGGACTCTATCGCGCTTTACACTACAATGCATCATTCATCCGTTCACACACACTGATGGTGATGAGCTACGCGCACTGACAGATGGGTTAAGTGTCTTGCCCAAGGACACAACAGCAGAATTCTCTGTCCAGAGCCGGGATTGAACCTGCAACCTTCCGATTACTGGCCAACCCGCTTAACCTGTTGAGCTGCTGCTGCCCCAAAAATTTGTTCTCCGCATTTGACCCATCCTCTGGGGAGCGGTGAGCTGCAGACACGGCCGTGCTTGGGAACCATTTGGTGGTTAAACCCCCCCAATCCAACCCCTTATTGCTGAGTGTCAAGCAGGGAGGTGTCGGGCCCCTTTTTTTTCCAAGTCTTTGGTATGACCCGACCAGGACTTGAACCCCGATCTCCCGGTCTCAGGACGGTCAGTCTACCACTAGCCACTGAGCTGGTAAAGAAAAGAAAAACATGTTTATAAAAAATACATGTGTGGACATCTTTTATACACAAATAAACTCTTTTTTTAGAAATACACCCACATTGTTAACAGGTTTGTACTGCATATGCCTTAAAATGTTTTTCTGCGTGTATTTGTGGCAAACACAAACACACACACACACACACACACACACACACACACACACACATTGCAGGAGAGGAGTAATTCTCCTCGTGTTTCTGAACACACAGGGAGGTAGATTGATTCCCTGCCCTGGTGAGAAGCTGATGACTAACAAAACGGCTCTTTTTCTCTTTTAGCTTCAGAGTTGGCTGCGGGCTCTTAAACACTCCGCGTTTTATTTTTGAACGGATCATGACTCGCGCTGACACTCGAACACGGGTTGGATGGGTGCAAGGAAGGTGGTGGTCCTGAACGGATGTAGACTGCCCGTCGTCACCCCCCACCTTCCCCAGGTGATCCTGGAGCTGGCACGCTCCATGTGCAGGTGTTAACCGTCTCTCGCGGTGCCGTGCTGCTGCTCAGAGCTAGGAGGAGCGAAAGGGAGGTTTAAAAGTGACATGGTGCAGGCGCTCTTTGATCCTCAGCCCACAGACTCCGCTGAAGTGCTTTTATAGGCAGAGGAACCATCTTTGATGTCCACCTGAGGTCCGCCGATGCCAAAATGTGGCGCACGCGTTAAAACACACGCGGGTAAAAGAAAACAAAAACCACCTTTTCTGAAAAGTCTTGACGAGAACACAAGACAAATGAGCACGTTGGACCTACAAACATAAAAACTTTGGTGAACTTCTGCTGAAAAGCACAAACTACAAGAAAATGTTAAGACTGGCTCCTCTGAGGCTAATCTAGATCAAGACTTTTTATAGTTTTGGGTTTTAATTCAGGTTTTCTTTTACAAGGAGTCATGGCATAAATGTTATACTGCAACCAGCCACTAGGGGGAGTTTCAGTTCCTTTTTTTGTGACAACCTTCGTATTTCATCATCATCATCATTTTATTTCTTTTAACACCTTCCACTACCTGTCCGGTGGGCCACGGTGTGTTACACTATCACGATAAAATAAGGCAAAAACTGTAAAAAGGATGTAAAACAAGACATATCATCAAAAACACCCAAACATTAAAATGATAATTAATGATTTCAGATTTCAGATTTATTGGCCAAGTAAAATTACATTTACAAAGAATTTAGCTTCGGTAGATGATAAATGATACCTAAATAAATACCAAAATACCATAAATGATAAAAGAAACCAGAGTAAAATTCTAATTCAAGATGTATGAAGCTGAACCCGAAGCTTCTAATGACCTGTTTTTGATTTTAAAAGCGGCGTAAATAAAAACAGTTAGCTGTGATTTAAAAGCGGACCACTTTTCTTTGTTTTTCAGAAGCTTTCTTGCTGCTGAACTCAGGAAAGTAACTCTAAACCATTCTAGACGGTGTTGGAGTTTCGCGTGAAACAAAACCAGATATAGCCAGAATAGAAAAAGGTGATGTCAAACAGGAAGTTCAACTGTAACTGTGGCTCTGAGCATCAGCGGTAAAGTCCTGCCGTGTCGCCGTCTCACCAGATGAAGCATCAGCCTGAGGATCTTCTCTGTAAGAATCTGCCACAGGCTGAGCGTGCTTCACGAGTCCGTCTGACCGCGGTCCGCTGAGTCATGTTAGAGCTGGCAACACACAGCAGTGACTCGGACACAGACAGTTGGGGTATTTTTTTACCTTTGTTCATTAAAAAGACAAAAGTTTGATGAACCACGTTTTAAACACAGCATATTTTTACCCCTCCGGTAACCCACACTAGTTCCTCAACTCTGATTAACTCGTCTTTTTGACCCAGAGATGACTAACTTTACTCACCTGTCCTTGCAGGCAGAGCTGCTAACTGGCTTCTCGGTTAATAACGTGGAGGGAGCCCACCGCGCCTCTCAGGAGCTGCTCAGGCGAGGCTGCGGGGCGGTCATTCTCACTTTAGGACCTCAAGGCTGCGTGGTGCTCAAGGCACAGGAGAAAACTTCAACACACGTTCCATCTACGGCAGTCGCAGCAGTGGACACGACAGTAAGAACCACCGATTATCAGTTCACCACTAACCAGTAACAAATCCCAAAGAGCAACGCATTAGCCGCTAGGCTAAGCTAGTGACATCAGATCTGAAGCTGACAGGTGAGCAGCGATCATCAGGTGGTTTTAAGGCATTAACTCAAATCTTAATGGAGAAAATTCAGCAGAACAGCAAAGTCTAAAGTTCTTCTTATTTTCTCTAATAACTACCAGAAAGTTTTTGCACACGTTCAACTTTTAGTTCCTTTCTTTTCGTCACAACAAAAGCACAATGTTGTGTCAAAATCATTCTCGGCTGGATTTCCGAGCATAAATTTCCCAGCGTCACCTTGCTGAGTCCTCCGGTGTTCCAGGTTTTTTTCATGTCTCTGTTTGATTCTTTTACCTGTGAAGTACTTTTGTCCTCGGACTCGCCGAATTCCCCATTCTGCTGTTTTTCCAGCCTTGTTTATATTTGTGTAACTTTATTGTTTTAGCAGCACAAAGGGATGCTCTAGTAGAGTCTGTCCAGGTTATTTCTCTTACAGAAGTGGTATTTTGGGGTTTTTCATCTCAGTAATAGGGCGTGTCGATGAGCTGAAACGAGCACTTTCCACGTTCGGAAAGGAACATTTTAATGGAATATTTGGTATATCACCCTTCCTGTAGTTGTGTAATTAAACCAGAAAGGATTTTTGTGCCCTGCACATCCGCAGCTGAGGAAATCTTCAGCTTCACACGATCCCCCTGCCTGTGCTGATCTGCCGCTCTGGTGGCGTTAAGCTTGGATGCGGCCGCCACCGTCTGCTTCCTCTTACCGATTCTAATCTCAAAGAGTCGAGTCATTCAGCGACGGCCTCTGCGGATTGTTTTCGTCACACAAGCCTGGGCTCGATGTTTCCTGCCACAGAGGTCTTTAGTGGGGTTTGTGTAGCTGCAGCCAAACACGTCACCGCGCAGTGGTGTTAATCACGTCTTCACTTCAGTCGAACCTGGAGAGGTTTAATTGTTTGTGTAATGGTTTTTCATGCTTAATCCTTTCCTCTGGGACTTTTATTGTGCAGTCATTTCCTGTAACTGGAGTTCACCCATTACAGGCATGTGGAATCAGCTGCACACCCAGCTCAAATGAGATGTTTTGAAACTTCTGTAAATAGTCTGAAGAGCAAACAGAAGCAGCAGCTTCTCTTTCTTTAAAAGCTCAGGTCAGGATTTCGTGGAGTCTGTTCCTTCTCAGCCCTTCTTGTCTTCACTCCTTCCTGATAACGTCCAAAAGTCCTTACCCACAAACCTCATGCTGCCCCCCTCCCCCGCCTCCCACTTCCATGACTCACCTCTTTGGCCTGCGTAGTCAGCAGAAAGCTGTGTTCTCTGCAGTTCTTTGATGGGCCCATAAATCCTGTTGTGTTTAACTGTTTTGGACATCATAATCCCTCTTCCAGTAAAGATCTTTCTTTTCTTTTTTTCCACTGAAGACGTTTAAAAAAGTGGTTCCCAGTGACTCCTCCAGGCGATGAAAGCCTCTTGATGTTTTTCTGTCACTTTCTTGGTAGCAGATCTGAGTTGTTGTAAAAGGATGGCTTCCTCTTGCTGACCAAACCACTGCTCAGCTTCTTTTTTAGTTACATGGTGGAGGTTTTATCTCACCTGCAATGGAAAGCGTGTCTGAGTGAGTGAATGAAAAGGAAGTCAAGCCAACAGCTATAAAAACGTTTACCTTTCAAAACAAACTTAAACTTTTTATCGTAAATCTCTGGGATTATCCATCGAAAAATATTGGCGGCTTTGTAACATATAACCATAGAAATTGGGTCTAAAGTTCATGGGTGATGCCTTATTTCCTTTATTTCCTTCTACGGGAGCATGTGAGGACAAAATGCATTTACAGTGATCCCTCGTTTATCGCGGTAGATGCGTTCCAGACCTGGCCGCGATAGGTGAAAATCCGCGAAGTAGGGACACCATATTTACAGTATTTATTTAACAGGTACGTATTCAGTATTCAGACTTTTAAAACCCTCCCTTTACATAGAAAAATTTTTTTTACTTGGTTTTTTTATAGTTTTATTACAAAAAGTGCATTTTATGATGAAATTGATGAAAAAAAAACAGGAATTTGAGCGCAGCTGATCCTCATCAGCCTGATCAGCGGGACGGCTTTAAAAGGAGGACGGTTATCCAGATACGACGCCGGATGATTAACTACTGCCTGGTAGTCTCTAGCTCCTAGCCCATAGTAACTTTGAAACCTCGTCTTGTCTAGTAACTTTTGGAACTCGTTTTAATCTGAACTTGTTGTGTTTTGATGCCTACCTTCAGACTCGCTTCTCCTCCGGATTCGCTCCCGTCTTGGAGACTTCTGGATACTCACCGGTTCGCTGCCGTTGCCGCTTCCGGGTTTGCCCTCCGCTGGATCACCAGCGCGCCCTCAGTTCTCCTCATCATTAAAGAAATAAAATTATTGTTTATCTTTTACCTCGACTCGAGTCTGATTCTGTATGTCTTGGGTTAGACACTTACCCCAAAACATGACAGAAAAATACCGCGAATCGGCAAATTTCCCTTGAATAAGGCTCCAAAGAAAAAGTCCGCGAAGTCGTGAATCCGCGATAAACGAACCGCGAAGTAGCGAGGGATCACTGTACTAATTTGTAGCAAGCGGTTACAAAACTTTCACCATTCATAAACGTTGTTTTACACGTTTACCTCTTCACTCGTTGCCAGTGATGAAGGGGGGTCTGAGGTGCTGGAGGTTGCACTCCCAGGGAGTTTTGACCCTAATGGCCTTCCGTTGGTAAGGTCTTACTCCAACACAAAAAGACTGCTTGCAATGATTTAGGTATGTCCTGCCCGCTATCGCCAGGGAAAATACACACATTCACTTTAAATTGGCTCCAGTTTGCTCATTTCATAACAACACATTTTTTATTGACCTTTACACCAAAATCGGTGTCGCATTACGTGGTTATTTACAATCGTTATTTTCACCAGCAGCAAAAGACTGCACTTCCTGCTGCACTTCCTGTTCATTCAGGGTTCAAGTCTAGCAGGAATTTATTATTTCTGCTAAGTTAACAGCACACCGCAATATTTGTGGAGGTGTAAAGATGTAGAAAATGACATTTGCAAGAGCCACTGAATTGAAGGAAACTGGAGCTTTTTGAAGGCAATAATGGGAGTTCAGACCAGCCCTTTGTAGATTTGGCGTAGGTACGAGGGACCTGCGCCTGCCGATGACATCACACTACGGCAACAACACTCAGCACTACATGGTCCGACAGGAAGTAGGGCTTTTTGCTGGTTTAGGTTTGTGAAACGTCCTGAAAACCTAAGAAAGAAACTCCAGTAGACTTTTATCTGAGCCTTTAGGATCCAACCTGGTGGGTTAATATGGACACAAGACCGTTCCACTTCCTTTTGGCTGAACCCATTCCATCGTCTTCTCCCTCTGTAACTGTCTGAATAACATTTTACACAGCAGGAGCAATTATGGCGTGAGTCAGGGGCACGAATCTGGATGAATAATGAAGCTAAACATCCACTGTGGGTCTCCCCCATCCCCGTTGTCTCTAACTGAGTTCAGGCTTCCCTTGCTGAGATCACAGCCTTGGATGGTTTTGCATGGACGGTGCACAAACACACACTCAGCTCCTCTTAGCTCCAGTAGGACATGGGTGGCATGACTTTCCATTATTCTGGGAGGTCCAAAAGGTAGACAGCGCTGTTTAAAGCAGACATTACAGCAGTCCAGTGGGTCTGGATGGACCGATTATTCCCAGTCGTTTCCAATAAGAGGAGGCGTGTAAGAGCAGATTCCTTCCTGGAAGCCCGAGGTAAGAAAAAAACCTCCGGAGCTCTGAAATTCCTCAACCCCTCACAATGAGGGTCGGCAAGAAAACTGCCACATCACCAAAGTGTAATGGACTGCACGTGATGCAACATCAGTCCAGATGTTAGACCGTACCTCTTCACGGTCGTGTTGATCAGGGTTCGTACAAGAGGGCGATAGATAAAGCTAAGTGGGTAGATCAAAGACAAGGTGCCTAATTGGTCCAATTAAATGTTTTTGATCTTCGAGTCCTGTTTCTTCTGCGGACTCGTCCTTGTCAGGGTATTACTGGAAGCCTCCAGGCGTGGAAGCCACTGTGAGCCATTGCTGCCCTCCAGTTGGTCTGGATTCTCCCCAGGGTGCCTTTCGTGGACAGCAGCAGCAGGCTGCAGGAGTTAACTGAACGTAGCTCCATCTGTCACCAAGAAGAGGACTCAGGATCACAGAAGGCGAGCGGTGGAGGCTGGAAAGGTTCAGCCGGTGCACAAGATTCTTTTTCAAATCTGCATTTTCCATAAATTGTCCGTCTTCAGCGTGGAGTGCCCATACGTGCGCCGCATTTCACAAAGATCTCTTGTCAGTCAAAGCGTGTGGGCGCCCTGGCTTTCTTTGCTTCTTCTGTTGCTAAAACTTCTGTTTCTGTGTGTGTCTTTGCTAGCAGCTGTGGCGGTTCGTTCTGTTTGTGCGAGCTATTCAGCTGTTCTTCGCTGCTAAAGCACACTTTTGTTCTGCTGTAAGATCCTCGGAACAACATTTTCTCTGGAGATTTGTCCGTCAACGTGTCTTCATTCAGTTGTCAGATGAATTTCATGTGATCTTCTGATTGTGGCTTGTTAGGAAATACACAAAAAAAGAAATCAAATATCTGGTTTGGAATAAATACAATAAGTGCCACCAGCAGGTGGACAGAATTATTGGCCATAAACAATACCTTTAGGCAACGAAATAAGTCCTGGTGTGCGGGAGCAGCTCCATGCAAACATGTTCCTCACATATTTAGGAGATTTTCTGGAGCATTTTTTGCCACGTTGCTTGAAATTCTCTTCACCCTTACTGATAGTTACCGGTAAATAAAACGTCTGTTAAAAAAGGAATCGTTTCGAAACGTATAATCCTGGAAAAACCTCATCCAGTCATCGTCTGTTCTAAATAATTGGATAATAATAATAATAATAGTAGTTACTTCTCT